GGCAAGGCCCGCTCACCCCCGCTGGATCCGCGCCTGCATCTATCTTATATCTACTAACTAATGGGTACCAATCCAATGGAAATTTGTATTAAAATAAGAGCCCCCGTCAGCACTAAAAGAGCCCCCGTGGACAAAAATTTAATTTTGAGCCCTATTTGGAGGGCATATAATAATCTGCTACCTATAATATATAGTCAGTGCACCACAGGAGATGGTGCTTACTAAAGAAAAAACAGAAATTTATGATTTTTTAGAAGTGACCAAGAGCTGGAGAGTTCACCATGAATAAGTCGCAATCCACTGGCTAAATTGCCAATTTGAGATTCACAAAGATTTAGTGATTTTACATTTCAAACATTCTTAACATTCTTATTATTTGTCCAATTAAATGACAATGGTGTAGCATAAACCCAGCCATACGGGCGAGGGGAGGAGGTTATCTGGAGAATAAAATGATACAGAACAAGGCTAACAATTCAGGAGGAGAATGGGCATGGTATCATCCTATCTTCTTGTCATTGTACCTTTCCCATCTCCATATCTCTCGTTCTCTCATCCTCTATCTCTTTCTCTCTCCTTTTTCAGCTTTTATTTGCGATTCCAGAGTCCACCTTCCACTTTAGTAGCTAGGCCATCGTTTAAGATGTTTACAAATAGAATGTCAACGACAAAACAATTGAAAATATTGAAAAATCATGTCTTACACTGTCTATGTTGACTGGGTAATGTTCATTGACAAGGCGTTGACACGAAGAACGGTCTGCCAGAACTCTCAGAAAATCAAATTGCCTGCAAGATCAAAAAGAACATGAAAAAAGAACATGAAAAGTAACCTAATGATTACAATAACAAACTATTTAAACAAATGGGGGGAGGCTAGTACAGTTCAACCTGTATAATTGGAGATGGCTTAAGGGAGACAGAAATGGAGGTCTTTATGGCATGTGATCTTTCTAGACAGGTTCTAGACAGGTTTATGTCAAAGAGAAACATGGTTTCAGACTTTCAGGGGAAACAAAAATGTGGTCTATATAGACAGGTGGCCTTTTCTATGCAGGTGACATTATTAAAGTAATTTTCAGTTTTTCACTGTACTCTACTTAACTTCATATACCATACAGGTTTTTTGAAGTTCCGTCTAAGGTCAAGTAAAAAACAGGAAATTGGTTTTCTTTCTTTGATAACCATTACTTAGACCTGACCCACTGATGTAAAAGGTCATTCAATTTGACAGTGTACTCCTACATAACTTTCCTGTCAGACCTTCTTCAAGAATTGTGAAACTTATAATGCAAGGTTAAAGACAGTTGCTGCCTCAAAATCAAGAATAAAAATGGTCATCTAAAAAATATACAGTATTTATATTTTTGGAATAAAAAAGTTTATCTGAGAGCATTTGTTACATTATTACAATAACAAATTAAAAGGCTGTCAAAAAAATCTGCAACATTATGACTTACCGTATTTGCCGGCGTATAGGCCGCAGTATTTTTGGAAGAGAAAATATCAAAAAGTCGGGGTGCGGCCTATGCGGCGAAAGAGTAAAAAATGATTTTTTTTTTTTTTTTTTTTTTTTTTTTTTTTTTTTTTTTTTTTTTTTTTTTTTTTAATTTTATTTATGGCGCTATGCCTGGCAATGTCTTCCAGCTCAGTAATCAGTGTGTTGACTCACCACTCGGAAACTACAACAACACTCAAATTTGTCTGTCATCTTTGTTTGAAAGTAATCTTTCTAACAGATCTCAATATGTAGTTTATAATAATAATTCCTCAATTTTTTTTCTATAACAAATGGTGTACCACAAGGTACACCATTGGTACCATAGGTACTCTATTGTGTTTAATTTACATTAATGATCTTACACATTCTTCTAAAAACGACATTGTTACTATTATTTGTGACAAGTTTACAAGCACAAATCAGCGCCTTTAACTGCACCTCGATGTTAAATGAAGGTCCTTCCCCGCGTGGGTTTTCGGCAACAAAACATCAACAACAACAACAACAACAAAAAAAAACTTTTTTTTTTTTAAAATGTCAAAATCGGGGGTGCGGCCTATACGGCGGTGCGGCCTTTACGCCGGTAAATACGGTATTCTAGATAATGTACATGTGATAACGGAAATAACTGTCAAATCCAATACCTACAAAAAATATGAATGTCTATACAGAATCACTTTCTTCTCATAAATGAGAAATACAAACTATTCATAGTATTCAATACAAAAAAGTAAGGGCCTTCTCAGAAATTAGCAAGTACAGTAGTTACTGAGTGTGTACACCAAACACTTGTAATGCCTATGGGAAGGTGGAATGCACCATAGGCATAGCATGCAATGAATTTTTATGTACAAAGTGAATGAGAATGCCATAATAAGTGTTTCAATATGCAATAAAACTGTTTTTATGCTACATGTAGGTGCCACTTCCATTTATACTACTTTATTATAGCTGCATGTACGTGTACGAGCTCATAAAATGTTAATGATTAATATCAAATCATAAATTTACCTGGATATTCACTTGATAACTTATAAACAAAATAACAGTCTGTTTGTGAAATAATAAAAATGGCTGGATCAGCAGGCTGTCTGCTCTGACATCTAGACATTGCCCTCTGGTAAGCATTGCGCAGCAAAAACCTTGCAGCAATCGTGATGCCAAACACATTCAAACAAAAATGGCTGCACTTGCACAAACATACACCACACCTTGCCCTAGCTTGCTTGATACTCAACCAACCTAGCATTGAGTGCAGAAGTGCTCTACCATGACAATGCAAAGTATTTTTCAGGCAAAGTCCTAGCAACCGACCCACACATAAAATGTACATGCGTAATAATTTAATCAGAACATCCCTGCCAGAGAAATGATAAAACACCTGACAGTGAAATAGCTGATAGTCTGAATAAAAATAGTATGGCACTTCAAAAGATCTTGAAATTACTCCTACATTTGTGTATTTGATTACTTAGCAATGGAAACAATCTCTCCACAGTTTTGCAGTTTCTGTGCTAGCCATTTTCCTGTGGTAGAGTCGACATTGTGATTGAAATGGTGAAGTAAGAGTACACACTATGAATATGAAGGACAAAGAAAGCGGACAAAGTATACAGTTCCTCATTCTACCCTGAACCATTGCTAGACAAAGGAACATCCCTTCACTGCTATTATGTAAAAAAAAAACCTGTAGAACAGGTGTCACATGCATATTCACCTGTTCTACAGATTTTTACATAATAGCAGTGAAGGGATGTTCCCTTGTCTACCACAGAAAGTGTTGAGGGTAGAATGAGGAACTGTATATTTTGTCCGCTTTCTTTGTCCGTCATGTTCATAGTGACAACTTCTTAGATACCCACTGATGTGTATTCCAGCTACAGTGCATGATTATTTCCCAACAATCCACTCTCCAAGAAATTAATATTTGAGGTCATTTTTTAAAGATCTTAAGTCTGTTGCATACCATAATACCTGCCTGGGAACGAACCCATTTTCAAAGAATTTGCAAAAGCACTTGATATGGACATCCAAACATGTAAAATCTGATGATCAATGTTCTGAAAATTCATGTGAATTATAAAATTTCAGGCTTTCTTGCTTCGAAAAATCTAAGTCTTACAGAGAATTGAAGTGACTTCAGAGTCCAGACTAAATGTAGTTGCCTGATTGTCTACAATTTGAAGTTGATTATTCTAACTCAGTAAAACTTTAAAAGGCTGCGATGCACTAGAATTCAAGTTGTTAGTATACAGATGATCATTCCGAATCTCATTTTGGAAGATGAATTTGTTTAACTTTCAAGTTCAATATCTAATGTTTAATTGACATTTCTTAGAAAATTGGATTGCAGAAGGATTGTATATAGTGTGTGGTTAGCTTTATTGCAGTGACATTGACCTCATATTAACAAATTGAAAGCTTTTGACCAGATTATCCAGATACTTCATTTCACCATTTCAGTACAAAATATTAAAAATAGAGTGCATAGGGTCTACACATCATTGCACATAATTTTACCATTCATCTAGTAATCATAGACAGGCCCAAGTCTAAATCATGAGGTAGGACTTGACTTACTCACTTTCTTTATTGATCATTCTTCATGATTAATTTCTGTTTTCTTCATTATCCCTTCTTCATTCTGCTGACTCTGAACTTTTCTTCCGCTTTTAGTTCAGTCTGAAGAAAAGTTTTAATTTGCCCAACCCAGTCAAGACCTCACACAATTGGTGCATGTGACAGTGAGAAGCATTGAGAAGCAGTGAGAACAAAAGGCTCAGTTGAGCAACTTCGTTCTTTTTTCTTGTACCTTTTAGTTTTACTTCAGTCTTACTCAGCATCTGTATCTTAATTAATTATTATAATATTAATATTAATAAATTAATAGACCTAGATCTAGAGTCTATTCAACTTTTAAGTTTTTTTTAACTTTTAAATTCATGTCTAACTTTTACACCATTCCAAAGCTGCATTGCCTGCATTCATCATTCATGTTTATCCTTTATCATGTTCTTCCTCTCTTTCAAATCTTAGTTTAGATCCCTTTTCTTTTCTTTTCTTTGTCTTTCTTTCTTATTTTGACCCGCCCCATCCGCACCCCTTTGCATTTGCCGTCTGGCAAAAGGAGGTGCGTGCGTGCGAGAACGTAGGCCGGTGGCGCGGGGCGGCTCCGTTCTACTCACCGTTTGATTGTCGCTGGATTCCCCCATCCTCTGGTGAAAAATTTGGATAGCAGCAAACTTCTGAAAATACGATCGAAAGCACTTGCTTTTTCATACATTTCGCCCTTCTTCTGAAGTTCTTGTGGACGTGTAAAAACTCATCTGACAGCCGAAAGAGAGTTTTTTTTAGGAACTTTAGATGCTCGGAAAATGGACTCTCGTTGCGCGCGTTGCCTCTCAACCTAAGATTAAAAGTAAGAATAAGATTGCGTGCATTGTTGACCTCGTCGAGTCCGTCCATGACCTACAGGAAGTGCATGTAGCTCGGGTGCTGCGCCAGCTGGTTTGCCGCGGGAAAAAGGGAAAACACCATTGACATGTGTGCATGTGTGGATGTTACGCCCACGTAGATGTGTACTTGTGTCAGCAGCACGAAGAGAGTCTGTTTGATGTTGACCTCCCAAGGCCTTCGCCAACTAAGCTTTGTTTACGGCACGGTATAGAGGTGTGAAGTCTATAGACTACTGTCCCGACCTGACTTGACGCCCATAGGCCTAATCATCATTATGCAAAGTCTTGACATTGATGACAATTTTGCAGGTTGGTCATGATCATGCCACTTGCTAGTTGATGTCACCAGTGGCAGTGGTGCTGTGTTGTTATAGTTTCCGTGATCTGCATAGACCTGACAAGAGTTTATCTGAATTCTGAAGTCTTCCCCTAGAGAGTGAATCGAGTGTTGACTGTTGGATTGCCTTCTAGATCTTCTAGGTCTAATCTAAGTTGAATATCTTAAAGAGCTGTTTTATTCTGGAAAGGCCTCAAACCAACCAACATGATGCAGACACCACCACGACAACCAAAACATTTCCCAAGCAAAGCTGCAGAAGAGATTGCCAATGTTACTCCAACTAAGCTAAATAGCCTGACGCTGAAGTCAAAGAGTGCAGATGTCAATCAAAATGAGAAGAGTGAACCGAGGTAAGTTTAGACATCTGGGCAGCATTTCACAAAATGTTTGCTGAGTAGAGGTCTACATCCCATGAAAATGTGTTAAAAAATTGACTCACTTTTCCAATACAAAATTAACTGAAGTAAAATCAACTCAACTTGTGCAATGCTATCCAGATTGCCAGCACTGTACTGTTGTCAAGTTGAGACCACTATCCTGTTTACCTTAGAATCTAGGCTTTACCAGAAATTTTGGAAGAATACCGGTACTGCCCGGAGTTGGAGTTAAATATATAGAAAATGATGGTCTTGATTTACTTGCCATGCTGTGTTTATTTTCCCATCTATCTAGATTGATATACCGATAACCTTATTAAGGGGTCTAGTATGTAGATTTACATACCGTATAGATTGTACTTTGTAGGTCCATAAATGTTATTATCATTTTGTAAAGTGCTTGTCTTTTATTTTCATCAAAGCAGTAATACCACCAGTGGACAAGCCACCAAGAGATTGGACTATCTAGCCTGGGAAGACTACTTCATGTCTGTAGCTTTTCTATCTGCACAGCGTAGCAAGGACCCAAGCTCACAGGTGTGTTCATCTTACCTGTAGACTAGCCATCGTTTTAAAAAATGATGACATTGTCATTAGATTACCTCAAAATATCTTGCCATTATTTTCCTAGTCCATCAGAAGTGAAGGGATTTCAAGTTCTAATTCTTGTGGAGTCTCATGAAAAAAGTGCAAGTATGGTATCTAAAAACTTAAATACTCACTCAATGAGGAGTAGACAAACTATTCCTTTTCGCATATATGAAGAAATGTTTGAAGGTATAACTTTATTAAGCAGAAAATACAACTCTCTATCTCTCACTTTCTGTGTCATATAAAATCATGTTGATTTTCATTTAACAGGTTGGTGCTTGCATTGTGAATGAAGAGAAGAAGATTGTTGGTATTGGCTACAATGGGATGCCCAATGGATGCAACGATGATGTGTTGCCATGGAGTCGAGATAGTGAAGATTGGCTGGAGACCAAGTATCCTTATGGTGAGTTAATCATCTTTCCTGTCCTCTTTTCTGAATTGTTTTCCTTGCAATTATTCTTTCTCTCCACACAAGTAGTGCTAAAATAAGCACTGATCGTTTCATTTAATGTAGGCTATATATATATTTGTTTCTGCTGAGGAAAGCACATAACTCTTCCTTTTTTTTCTCAATTGTTTACGATATGTTTAATAAAATGTGTCACTTAATGATAACCCTCGTGTAATCATATGCTTTTGTAATTGTAAATATGTTAATTCAGATACCCTAATTTATATATAAACCATATTATGAGGCAGGACCTACATAATACAAGCTTTGCTTTTTAGTAGATCCCCCACATTATTTATTGATTTATATGATTGTATTCTTTGTTATAACTATTATCATGTACATTTTGTTTTCTATATTGTAAGTTTAGTTATAATAATTACCATTGTTCATTATGTTCAATTATGTTATCTTTGATAAAGTGAAATAAATAAACTTTAAAACTTGAAATATAGAGAAGGGTCTGTTAGCGTTACCATCTTTTTCACTTTTTTTTAAAGAGATGAAAGATATTGTAAGCAAGGTATTTCATAGAAAATACAGTTGCATGAATACCAGGCACTGCTAGGTCTATTAAACATATGCAATTTATCCTGGAAACAAATGCTTGGAAACAAAGGATGTCGTACAGAAACGCATTTGCCAATCATGGGATAGTAATAGTTATAATAATGATGATAGATATTAATACCAAAACATATTATGTCAATGAGAAAGCAAATAGAATAATGAAATGCTCATTACTTTTATAAAAAAAGTACAATGCATCTGGATTTGTATTTATAACCTATACAAACAGTTTCTAAGCGTTTTGTTATCTTTGACTAAGCATGCAGAGCCACTGAAACAAAAGGATAACACTGCTATGTTTATATAACCTACTTCTATTTTCCAGTATGCCACGCTGAGCTGAATGCAATTATGAACAAGAACTCCGCCGACGTCAAAGGATGTACTATGTACGTAGCTCTCTTTCCCTGTAACGAGTGCGCTAAGGTCATAATCCAATCAGGGATTAGGAAGATCGTTTTTCTCTCGGACAGGTACCAGGAAAAGGACACCATAAAGGCATCCAAAAGAATGTTTGATTACGCTGGAGTAACTTACAGGTAAAAATTATTTTTATTTTGTATTTTGTATCAACTTGAAGATATATGTACCGTAAATCTCTGTATATAAGATGCACCCCTATTTTTAAGACCAACAAAAATATATTTTTTTTGGGGGGATGGCTTTTCTGGTTTTTAGCAGATACCGCAGTACGTTAGAAAACCTTCATTTTGCTACAAGGCAAGCAAAATTGAAGGCACCGATTTGTGCTTGCGAACTTGTCACAAATAATAGTAACAATGTCAGATGCTGCTTGTAAGTATCGGCTTGCATGGTGATGTACATGTAGATATACAGTAGGCTTGGGGGTGCACCATGTGAGAGAGAGGGAGGATTGAGGGGTCGTGAAAAGGACTCTCGGTAATCTTTCTGAGGGTGTGTAGTCCTGTAAAGGACTATTCTTGGATCTTAGATTGGATTTCTCCGGAACATTCCACTAGGGAATTTTAACTGGAGGTGTGGCTTTGAGTGGTCAGTTACTTCATCTCTTTTCTCCTAAATCTGATATTCTCATAAAGTGTAATATAACGAAAACAGAATTATTACTTTCTGCTACATTGATAGGCTACATGATTACACTGTTGGTGTAGTCTTGAAAAAGACTGTTGGTTATCTTTCTTAGCTTATAGTTCTAAGGAGAACTAAAGCACTTGGAGAGGATGGGTGGCAGGAGTGGCTCAACGTTTTAAACAGGTTGACTATCCGTCATCAGGAGACGAGAGTCCTTTTCAGAACTCCTCAATCCTCCCTCTCTCTCTCTCTCTCACATGGTGCACCCGCAAACCTACTGTATAGTAACAATGTCGTTTTTAAAACTAAAGATGACTGACACATTTTCCTTTGAGTCCAAACAGAAATTCAGAAATTTGGCAGGGGATAAATCATTTTGTTAATTTGATTAACAGCTGAGGAAGTTCATTATCTTACATGTACTTAAAAAGCTCTGTAATCATGTAGCCTATCAATGTAGCAGAAAGTTATAATTCTGTTTTTGTTATTACTTTATGGGAGTATCAGAGGTAGGAGAAAAGAGATGAAGAAAATTGTGACACTCTTTGCATCTCCACAGCTAACTCAATAGAATTAGAAAATAAATGCAGTCTTGCTGTTCTTATTATTCTGCAAACACAAGATATTCAGATTCTCTCATGTTGTACAAAGTCCATATTGCTATTGAGAGATCTTGCAACCAAAACACCTGCCATAATTCCCTCAAATACGAACAAGGTCGTCCTCCTTTCTTATCGTCTATCCTTTCTTCTCTACCCATTGACATTTGCAGTAAATTCACACCGTCTCAGCAAACAGTTACCATAGATTTCTATGCGCTGGATCCAGAGGCAAGACCCAAGGACGAGAATCAGAAAGAGGAGGAGCTCTAACACCTCATAGTACCTCACCTCAAGGTCATATTGATTATCTCTGTCTTTCAAGGTCATTTCTAAATATATATTTATATTTTGTTATCACAATATTTAAAAGCAATACAAAGTGTTGGTATATAAAACATGAAATGAAGTCATTTTCCAATAGTTTTTGGATGCATCTGCAAGGATAGAACACAATCCAATAAATCTACCTTGGATTATTTGCCATTTTGAGATGGGTTTAAGAATGTAGCCAATAGCAAACCTGTATCAGGTCACATGTATATATATGCTTTATTTTTTCCATCACGCTCAGCTTCGCAATTTTTGTGCAGCATTATGTGAGCTCTGTGCAACCACTCTTCGTCAACGCAACTTGATGCGTTCAAAGCTCAGACGCGATCTAATGCATTTCATACGGCATGATGATGCGTACATCGAGCCATGCATTGTACATACGTTTGGCTGGGCGCGCGCACTGCATGATGTGACTTCATCCAATAAAGCAAATGGCTGCCTTCTTGATGTGGGACTTGGCTTTTTGATTGGGTTTCTTAGGCAATTTATCAACTTTATACTCATATAGGAGACCCAGCTTACAAAACAAATAATACATGATTTAGCTCGTGCATTAGTGATATGCACTGCACTTGGTTAAGCCACAATGAGACGGACAATGAACTTGATAATGAAGTCTCTTTCATTAGCCTATTGTAAGTTTTCCTGCGTGCGGTGCATATTCACTAATGCACTCGCAAAGATGTATTATTTGTATATTGCATGTTCAGTGACAAGTATCTATCAAGGCATTGATAAATAATGTGTTTTCAAGCTGGCTTGCTTTATGATAAATATGCTGGACAAATTCTTATTTGAGTTATTAAACAGAATATGAAAAATTTATCCCAAGAGGTGTCTTATCCTTACCAACACTTTGTATTACTTTCAATCTTATACATGTATTGTCAGAGAAAATTAAAAAATGTCTTCCAATTTCTCGATATTATGGAAAGAAAAATCTTCAGCGCAGAAGAAGTATAACATGTTGTGTGGTGCTATTTAAGAGATATCATAGGTCATAATAATGACATCTTTATATTTCTGTGGACAGGTAAGTGAGATTATTGGTAGGAAGCAAACAGTATTAGAAGTCTTTAGATATTTCCTAGAACATTTTTGGTAAAATTTCCATTGTGTAAATGTGAGTTGGTTTCTTAAGCTTTACCAGATTGAAAATAGGAAGCATACAGTATTAGAAGTCTTTAGATATTTCCTAGAACAATCTAGTTGAACTTCCTTTGTTTAAATGTAAATTTTGGCTTCTTAAGCTTAACCAGATTGAAATGAATTGACATTTGGTTACTATAAGTAGAAAAGGGCAAAAATGCACCGTCTAACACAATTGCACACACCTGCACAATTGGGCACTATATTTTATGGGAAGATACAGGAAAGCACAAAATTTGGTTGTTGGGAATTCTGTAGGCTACTTCGCAATGTTTAAAGGGAAATTCTACCCCCAAAATAAGTTTGTTTCGATAGAGGCAGAATAATAAGAAAATCAGGTGAGTGAAAGTTTGAGCAAATTCTGAATGAAAATAAGAAAGTTATGAATTATTGAAGTTGTGATCAATCAAATACAAATTGGCAACTCTGTGACTTATTATACAAGCTCTCCTTCATTTGCTTTGTGCATAATATTCCATAAAATCATGTTTTCTTTGTTATTGATGACGGAATATATATTTGTTCCTTGCAGGGGGAGTATAGAAACATATTTGCAATTATTATATTTAGGGTGCATGTATGGTTGAAATTTTTCTTGAGGGAAAATGAACATTTTAGATTTTTTTAGTACTGAGCAAATGGAAGTTGAGCTCGCATGATACGTCATAGAGTTGCCAATTTGTGTTTGATTGATCACAACTTCAAAAATCCTAACTTCCTTATTTTTAATCGGAATTTGCTCAAACTTTCACTGACTTGTTTCTCTCATTTTTCTACTCCTATTAAAACTAACTTAATTTAAGGGTGGACTCCCCCTTTAATGTTTAAGTTTAGTGTATTTTATATCCTGGTGCTCATAATAATAATATTGCAATATTCTTTTATAATATTGGAGTTAATTGTTTCAGTTTGCTGAACATGTTGTTGTAGAGTAATATTTATGTGTAGTATTTCTACATGTTAAAGGAATATAATGTAGTTGTATATATAGGGATCGCTGTCCATGAAAATCAACATTTCAAGGAAAAAAGTTCTGATGTAATCATGGCAAGATTCAATTTCTAAATGGGAATCTTTAAGTATCGAACAAGTTGTGCTGTCTCTTAATAGCATGCAGTTAATAACTACCGCAAGAGTATTACCACTCAAATCTATAAAGTATTAGTAGCTTGTAAGCAAGTCCACCATTTATACGTTACTATAACTACCCATCTTGTAACCCAACCCTCATTCAGTGTATAGACACATGCTGAGTGGCTTAAGTACCCGATATGTGAAAGTACATTATGTATTCCACTATGAAAGCAGGCATCATTACAAGGTATACACGTAAGGTTCAGTTCTTCCTTACAACTTTATACACGGCACATATTACCTCAGCTTAATAATACCAAAGTACTTTTCAAACAAGATACATGCGTGTTTATATTTATCACTGATATTTCAATGTGAGATCGATGTAAATGTTTTTTGTTCCAGCTATTTGTATTCTCTACATAATGTGGACAAGGGTAAGGTTAAAGAGAAGGTCGAGTTCTTGGAAGAGGTGAACAATAATTTGTGAGCGTTATCATTGTTATTATGCAAGTGTGGAAGAACATCATATAAAACATGTTCCCTGAAAAGCATGGCTCTTCAAATACCTTCATATGCTAAATACGGCATGTTACAGCATAACAATCAGGACAGATTTTTATGCCACATGTTTGTGTAGTCCCATATACATCTTTGTAAATTTACCAAGACTGGGCCAATTTTTGTTATCATTTTAATGATTCCAGGGGGGTGTTTCACAAAGATTCTAAGTAGAACTTAACTCTAAGTTGGACTTAAAAATTATGGACAGCCATTAGCATCTTTGAAAATATTTGGTAAAAATATTTTTGAAAGGCATAAAATGTTTATTCAAATCATTCATATTTTCTATCATCAAGGAGATTTCATATTCTTCTTGTGGAATTTATAAAATGTCTAAAATACTTGAATTTCTGCTTTTGAGTATATTTTATTTTAAGGCTCCAATGGCTGTCCATAATTTTTAAGTCAAACTTAGTGTTAAGTTCTACTTAGGATCTTTGTGAAACACCCCCCTGAACTCAACTTTATCTTTAAATGCATTTTGTTGACATTTTCATGTAAAAGATAATGCTATTGGCAATAGATGTTACTTGTTACATTTGTATAATATTGGTACATCTTATCTTCATAATAGGCTCAAAAAGAATAATAATATTTACAAGTACTTTTTTTTCTTTCTCTTGTTGTTGTTGTAAGCATGTATAACCCATCCATATTTCTTATACACTAAAAATCCTCTAGACGGTCATGCATTATGGCTCAAGGCATGAGCACACAGAAGATTTTGTTATGTTGGGAACTGGGGTAAAATGCAATAAATTATTGAAATTGTATTGCATTTTCTGTGTTTTTTTTTTTTATTTATGGGAACTGCCCCCTACCCTAGCCCCCACTGCGTACAGTCATGGTTCAGTGACAAAGCAATGGCCTCGTAACTGTGAGGCCCCGGGGTCAAAACCGTGTCGATGTGCTCTATTAGCGCCCTTTTGTGGGGCATTTATGCTCATTACTGTAATTTATGGCTTAAGGGCGTAGGTCCCCTAGTTGATAAGCATAGTAGCATACACATGCTTTAGCAGTCACGCAAAAACACGCATTGGCAAATTATTATTCAATAAAATCTGAGAATGTATACTATTATCTAGATCTATTATTTTTAAATTATTTTTAAAATAATTCCATGAATTGGGATAAAAAAAAAATATTTCACCTTTATGAGCGACAGTGTAGGTAAACAGGGTTCATTTTAATGTTTTGTCATGTTAATGAAGTATATACATGTATTATTGGGTTATATATAAAAAACGAATTACTAATTTTCCAACAGAATACCCGGGCAGAATACCCCCCTCCCTCCAAGACAAAAGGAAACTTGTTCCGTTTGTTGATAATTCATTTTGGCTGAAATCTGATGAAGGAAACAGATGGGCAATTTTTGTTTTTTTAATTAAATGTTTTCATGGAAAATCATGCATTTTATTGTATATTAGAAAACGTGGAACATTTGAGGTACCAAGTTGGAATTTTCATCATTTGCTAAAAGCCAGAATACCTTTACCGGTAAATCATTTTATTTTACAAATGTAACACCTTTCTACTTCTCGACCAACATTATACCTTCAGACGAATCTTCATTTTAAACTAAATCTCAGCCATATACCGGTACTAGACTTGATGTTGTTAACTCGGGAAGATGTACTAGTTATGTGTACACCATGTACGCATACTATAAGTTATCTAGCAGTGAAGGAATATCTCTAATGTCGTAAGATATTGATATTATAAAAGACTATTATGTATTACATTATCATTATGTCTATATTTGTACAAGCAGGCCTGATAAAAACCGGATTTTTTTATTTTTCCCGATTTTTTCCTGATTTTTTTTTTCTTTCCCGATTTAAAAAAAAAAAAAAAAAATCCAGATTTTTATTTATTTTTATTTTTTTTACCAATTTTTTTTGTTCTTCTCTATTTTATCCTGATTTTCCCGATTTCCCTCTTATTTTCTCTATTCTTCCCAATCTTGCCCTATTTTTTTCCCCAATTTTGTCCCAATTTTCTTACTCGAAAGGGGGGAATGTTAAATGCCATTTTTCCCCCGCGAATCCTCTTCTTTTTTTTTTTACTCAAGGGGGCGTGGTTGAGGGGAAAACAAAAAACCTATTTTTTTTTAGTGCTCACTATCGCCCCTGACAAGGCATGACAATTGATAAAAGTGTGTGAAATATACATATGCCAGCTAGGCAGTGTGTGACAAAATGTTCTTTTTTTTTTTTTCATTCAGATTCATTGTTGGTTGTAGTTTATAGTATTTTTTGTTAAATATCACTCTTGAATGCCACTAATGACTTAGCAGAAAATAGCGTGCTAACTTAGCACGTTATTCTTCTCTTTTTTTTTAACATGTGTACGCTATTATTTTTTTTTTAAATATAACAAAATAAAAGTCAATTAAAAACATATTTGAGTTATGTGTATGTGTTTTTTTTATCATCATTCGTTTTATCAGACCATCACATTTGTTTATCCATATGCTCACTTTCTATATTTCCGTCATAAATGGTTTTCTTGATGGTAACGTTATATTTTTTGTATGTACAAAAAGCATCGATAATCCCCTATAATAGAGTCCACGGACCTGATAAGAAGCTATTTGAAAGATAAAAGGAGCCCATAGCAAAAGCTCAAAGAGCCTCAATTCATTTCAAAGAAAAAAATAGATGTAATATGGGTATGTATGATATTAAACAAATATTTACATTTTGCTATAAACAAATAACATCATTTCATATTTTGTTTTAAAAATTGTGCAAAATACAGAAGAATACTTGCATAGGTTTAAAACATGTTAGCATCAGTATAAACTGGGGAAGGCATAAGTAACTAAATCAGTCTCTTGAAAAAATGGTAAACTTGATTTTTAATGATGTACTACATGTTCATACATACACAGTTGTATATACTATATCAAATTGAATGTAATAATGAATAGATATCAAAATATTGATACAGAGTTGCCAAACACTAATGTGAAGTGCAGATATAAAACTTTGCCTGTTTGACAAACGCGACGTATTCATAAGAATTACCAGTAAGGGGTTATTATTCCCAATGCAATGACAATAACCAGGGCTCAAATTAATTTTTTGTCCACAGAGGCTCTTCCCCCCCAAAAAGAGCCCCCCGTGAGCCTTCTCACGGGGGCTCTTTTAGTACTGACGGGGGCTCTTTTTTATACAAATATCCATTGAATTGGTACCTACGATACCCCTCAATTATTTGCTATTTCATCATTATCATTTCAATCAGCATTTTCCCTCTTACAAATTTACAAGCTACATAGCTGTTACTGGCCTGTGTATATAATATATACGCATACAACACTCATCTTTATGATGTCTTTAATGTGACATATCTTCTTCTCCCCTTGCAAACGAGAAAGAAAACAAGGTCATTAAAAGGGATTAAGCGACAAATAATGATTGTGATTCAAATTGATGCGAATATTTGTTTGAATATGCACTGCTATTCACCTGAATCTTCTTTGTAAAAACAACTTTTACAAATCTCATCCATGCTTTCTGAGTTGTGACGTTCCATTCAATGTAAAATACTCATTATAGAATACACTTCTCCTAATCTGAAAGTGATCTTATATTTGGTTTTAAACAAACCGGTATAATAACACGTTTGCAATATACACTTTTATCCAATTTACTCTCAGACTGCCTAAAACTGTAAACATATTTTAATCCGTTGTTTCATTAGGCCTTTAGTGTTCCCTTCTTTTATATATTCTTTTTAATACAAATTCATGCCCTTGCCAATTATTTGACTTGGGTCTTTTTTTCCAAAGTAATGTGCAATATCTAATTCGAAATTACACTATATTGTGATATTGTTATGTAAATACTCATTTTAATTTTATTTGAACAACTTTCTCGATCTAGATGAATGCTGTCATTACATTTATATTAAAAGGGAAAACGGAATAGAGACTGTCATTTTGACTTTTACGGTTTAATTTCATCCCATCCAATAGGTTTTTTTTTAATGCTTAATTTCATTTTTTGTAATAGAAATGTTTGTTTAGCAATTGTTAAATACTTTCTCAACTCTTTCGGTCAAACAACTTCCTTTTTTCTTCTCCATTCTCTCCTCCCTACCGTCTTGGTTCTTCAACATGAAAGTATATTATTACATTACTCTATAACTTTGTTTTGCGATTTCGACTTCATCTTACAATGACTTACAATATGTATTTTAGTTTTGTATATGTTTATATCTCTCTATATTTTTAACTTGTTTGTAAATTGAACATTTTCAGCCTGCGAGCTGCTTGTTTGATGTGATTTCTCAATAAACCAAACCAATTCAATTCAATTCAATCCAAAATCTTACAACACAGTGGCAGAAAAAAACAGAGAGCAACACACAGTTAGGCCAGTGAAAGGTCGAATTAAAACAAGCCATAAGTATCATAAAACGTACCGGCCAATGTACAGCTAGCATTATATTTCGTTTTTCCCCCTTGTTGTTTTGTTTTGTTATGTTTTATTTAGCCCCTCAAATCTCAACCCATTGAGAACGCGATCGCATAGACATTCGAGATAGAAACGCAGGGGCAATTTCAATTATTATTATAATCATGCATCTTTATGAAATCATTTTCGGATTAAATACGTCATTGCAAGGGGTGATGGACAGGTGTACAGACCAGTACGTTCCAGGAAAGAGTCGTTAGCCTTTTTTGTTTGGTTGGGGGCGGGGGGGCGGCGCGGGGAACACGTGCCCCCGGTATCCCCTGTATGCAATACTGATTGATTTTTGGAAAGTCTTTGAGATAAATTTCCCAGCTTGAATTATTCCGGGTCTTTGTTTTGTCTCATACTCGATCGCTTCTTGATGGCTAGGAGTAAGAGATAGATGCCCACATTAGCCGCTTCCATGATCCCGAGAATATAAAAGACTATCTGATAGGATCCAGTCATGTCATAGAGTGATCCTGTAAATGGAAACAAAAATGGAAGATCATTTTACTTTTAATAACGATAGGTAACAATAAATATTTATACATTTTACGAAAGTTTGATGCATGGGTTCATTGACTGCGTTCAAAAAGTCTTCAATGTGATAGTATTAACCCATGCCCTCATCTATACCACTATCCCGGACAACTAATATTCAATCATAGATCCACACAGTCTAATTATGTTTACATTTTTGTGACATTCATGAAAGTGCCGCGCGCATCTACAGATTCATATCCTTTGTAAATTTGATGTTTTGTGATTTTCGTAACTCAAGAATGAAAGATGGATTGGTTGACCCGGGGCCTTTGTTGAATACTTTAGATGTTAGCTTTATATGTCACAAACAAATCCTTGTCTAGGCTTTCGGTAAATTTGGGCAGGGGCATCGATCCCCTCCATTCCAAATGGTGAAGTGGCCTAGTGGCGCCCCGGTCTATCTTTATATAGATAAACATTGAAAGACACGGGGCTATATCACTGTATACTGGTACAGCTTCGAATGTACTTACCAGAGGTGTAAGCAGTCAGAATTCCACTGACGCCTTTCAAAAGATACGTGATGGAAACTGATGTGGGGAACACCTTGGGACTGACGACATTGGGCACCAGGGCTTCCACAAGGCACACACTACCGTAGAGACCGAAGCCCATGAGGAAGGAACATGCAAGGAGGTAGGTGTAAGACGCCCTCAAGGGTTGGACAAACAACATCAGCGATGTCAGAGAGCAGAGCACGACGTATTGACCGGACACCCAGGTTGGATGAAAGTGCAAGACGACAGTGCCCATGACCCTGGCGACCAGACCTCCCACTCCTCCCATAGTTCCAACAAAGACAGCCCGGGATTCCGGGATTCCGAGAGAGATTGCGAAAGGTACGATGAATATGGTCCAGCTGATGAGTACAAAAGCACCGATGAAGTCACACGGTAAAACGAATGCAAGGAAGAACTTTGCCTCCTCTGTGTATGTCTTCAGACTTGAAATCCTTTCAATGATTCGCCTTCGAGTACCCTTGCGAGAATCCTTGAAGTCAACATTTGGATCGTTGTATCTCTTTCCAGAGTCGTTGAAAGATTCAGTGCTTTCTGTCATTTTCATTTCATTATATCCCCCTCCTATTTCTTTTCCCATAATATAATCTGATCCAGTCATCTTATCAGGGTTAGGTGACTCACATTCAGCTAGGTTATATCCTAGATTTTGAAGAATATGGCATTCTACCTGGTGAGTTTGGGAAACGTTTTTCTCTGAAGGAAATTCCTTTGTCCTGGTTGAACCAGCATCAACAGACTCTAAGAGATGTTTACAAGTCAACACAGATGGTTGCTTATGCTTTTCCTTCGGCAATTTGAGGACAAGTCCAATCGGGAACATGTTGAGGCAAAGTCCACCTAAGATTAGGAGAGCGTTGTGTGGTCCGTAAGATTCAATCAAAACTTCAGTTACGATAGGTAAAATGAGCACCCCGACAAGAGAACCTACAAAGGCAAAGGAGCTGGCGAATGCGAATCTTTCTTTGTAGTGACGGTGTAGACAGATGATTGCGGGAACTAATACCATGCTTTGACCAATACCTAGAGGAATTGGAAGAAAGAAGACAAATATACATGTTAGGTTTAAAGTAGTATATGGATTGAGTGTGTGTGTAATATATACATTTATATATATATATATATATATATATATATATATATATATATATATATATATATATATTATATGAAAATATACTTCTCGAAAAGGACGAAATCAAACACAACTCGACGCTCAGCAAACCGGAATCGCGTATTTTCGATCTTACGTTTCATTTTTAGAGTTTTTCATTGCAACTGGCAAAAGACCATGAAATGTTGGATTTCCTACCGAAGAAAATGAAGAGGGTTCCTAAAGCCCAGGTAGTACGAGTGAAAGAAGACGTTGTCAGGGCAACACCAGCTATGAGTCCCCCAGCCATAGATATCTTGTTTGGATCAATACGATTTACCAGTGGCTTCACAATTACCGCTATAACGAAAGGAAGAAAAAAAGATAATGTCATTGCACGTATTCTTAGCTCTATTTACTTGTGGCTGAATCCGAACGTGAACATATTTGTATAGGCTACTTGTATCCAGGCGCGGATCCAAGGGCCGATTCTACCGGCCCAGCCCCCCCCCCCCTAGCCTCCCGAACCGGTTAAAACAAAAAAGGATAGTAACGTAAATTTTACCTTTTTTTTTTTAAAGCGGCCCCCCTGACCCCCCCCCCCCCCAACCCCCCCCCCCCCCCCCCACCAAACCCCTCCGCACATTCGCCGTTCGCTGGCTGGCTGATTCGCCGCTAAATATTTTCTCAAGCTTCCCCCCCCCCCCCCCCCCTCTCTTGCTGCCGGCTGGATCCGCCCCTGGTCACATAGGCTATGGGTCGTTACTGTTACACTATATGGACAGATTGAATAGATGTGTAAATCATTGAAATTATAACCAGTATACGATGCGAAAATGATTCTTCTCCAACTTCCGGATACCAACCTGGAAATTTTTGTTGCGTCCTACAGGACGCAATTACTCACTGCTTTTGCAAAATTCGTGCGTGAGATTTGGTTATTTGGTGAGTCCAGGACTTTCAGCGACATTTGCTTATACATGTATATATTGCTCTACAAAACAAATCTGCCATAATATGTGAGAGGAATAGATGATACGGTACTCGCTTGTATTACAGAAATTTTATTTTCACCTATAAAATGTACTTATGAAAATAAATGGTCAACATTAAATTTTGGGTCTTTAGCAAGTGTCTCATTTGAATTAAATATTGCTTCAGACCATGATTTACGTCATTTAACAAAAATATTGTGACCTGCCAGTGACACAAATGCGGCATCAAAATATTTGTGCTCAGTTCTCTGACCGTAATTAAATGCCTTAAACCCCTGAGCTTCCGGGGGCTCCGCCCCCTAAAACGGCCCCCACACCATATTTACGCTTCGCTCGCTACCCTCTACCTGATCGTAAATACTTTAGCCGCCCCACTTTGATAAACATTCCGTGTATATAATATATACACATAAAACACTGATCTTTATGATGTCTTTAACGTGACATAGCTTCGATCTTCTCCCCTTGCAAACGAGAAAAAAAAACAAGGTCAGTAAAAGGGATTAAGCGACAAATAATGATTGTGATTCAAACATTTGTTTGAATAAGCACTGCTATTCACCAGAATCTTCTTTGTAAAAACAACCCCTCCCCCCCCCCCCCCCCCCTCTTGCCGCCTGCTGGATCCACCCCTGCTTGTATCTCATGTTCTACATATTGTATGCTACAGTCTTCCAAAGTACAATATGTTTAAAGTCTTGTTTTTTTACAGGTTTTTTTGTTAATCTAAAAAGATAGTCTTTATAACTACAAAGGTAGGATCATTGCATTGAAACAGCAGTAAAATATATCTTTATAACAATAGTAGAATAGATCTCCATAATTATGCGCATTATTAATTGAGGCATATTATGTCGATCACACCAACTTTATCGCTTGTTTAATCGGTCAAAGTTTTTACTTAACCACATGTGTATTCCAAGGTCCATGACAAAGAAAATATGACGCCAATGGTTGCAAAATTACTGTCTAGCTGGAAAACCATGGGTGAGAGAAGAACTCCATAAGATTTGAGTACACCTGCTTCGAGAACTAGGAAGAAAAATGTTGCCAGCAAGACGACATGACGCCGGGAATCTGTCGGGGGTTCGTCAGCACCTCGGGCAGAGCGTAATTTCAGTGTTTTCGACACCATATTGACTGATAACCGACTCCTTCTAGTTGATAAGCGTACCGTACTTGTTCAACTACGGTCAACAAGAGACTCACACAGTTATATAAGTCAATTGTGATACCAGCACTAGATTACTGCTCTCCCATGTGGCACCCTTATAGAAGAAACATTCTCAAAGTGACGTCGTGCAACTAAACTCCTTCAACCTCTCAGAAGTCTTCAGCAGTGGCGGATCCAGGGGGGGGGGGGGGGGGGGCCCCCCCCCCCCCCCCACTGAGCGACTTTTCGGCCGGCGCAATTTTCAAATTTTCAGGAGCAAAAAGAAAAAAGTTGGGCCCCCTCCCCTAAGAAATCCTGGATCCGCGCCTGGTCTTCAGTACAAGTTACGGCTAGAGCAACTAAATTTGCCTTCATTATCATACAGATGTCATAGAAGCGACATGCTACAGCCTACAGGTCTATAAGATAATGCATGGAATTGACGACCTCCAGTCAACTAATTTCTTTCATCGTATCACTGTCACAGTAACAAAAGGTCACAGTTCAAACTACAAAAGAAACCCGTAAACCACGCAAAATCTAAATAGAGGCAGAGCTCTTTTTCACAGAGAGTAGTAAACGAATGGTCTCCGATCATTATGTAGCAGAAAGTCCATCACTCAATTCTTTGAAATCAAATCTTGACAAGTACTGGTCACTGAAGAAGGACAAGTTTAATCCTGATGAACTATTCAACTGTCCATGTTCATCCGTAACTGCACAACACCAAATTCAAGAGTAACCCACTAGCGGAAACCGAGGGGCAAATAAGTTTTGTACCCTTGAACTGTATGCCTCCCGCCCCCCCCCCCCCCCACTCAGTTTAGGGTACGCGTATGCTTGTTCCCTCTTTTTGAAAGCACCCCCTATCTGAGGAATGCCAACATTTCCGAACCCCCCTTTCGCGGGCTTTTCGCGGGCTTTTCCTGCCTTAATTGGAGACCCCCCTAAATCCAAAAAAATGCTCAATGTCTATGTCAATGTCAATCTCTAACATGAATCAGCCGAAGCCTTTTACGTATATGCACGTCAATTTGGTTGTGCATGGGTGGGGTGGGTCAGGTGGCTATGCTCCCTGAGAATATATATATTTTTTTAAATCTTGGCACTTTACTAGAATAAGAGGCACTTGTCGCTAGTGGTTTAAAAGAAGAGTTTGATTTTGAATATGGCTGATAGCGGAGGGGGAGGGGGGGGGGGGGGCGTATACGCATTATGCGGTCCGGTGCCAACCCCTAGACACGCCATTATTAGGGACTTTTAGATTGAGTGGACGAGAACACGACGAACGCCGACTGATCATGCGTGTCAACGTACTCAACTGCCCATGTTGACTACAATAAATTATAAATGTTTTAGATTGCAATCGACGATATACATGCATGCAGGAAGTAACACTATGAACATCACGGACAAAGAAAGAGGACAAAATATACAGTTCCTCATTCTACCTTCAACAAAAGAACATCCCTTCACTGCTATGTATATGTGTTTAACAGGTGAATATGCATGTGACACCTGTTCTACACATTTTTACATAATAGCAGGGAAGGGATGTTCCTTAAATTTGTCTACATGAGGAACTGTATATTTATGCGCACGCGGCATACTAGTACCTTGAGCATGTAAAGGCGCTACTTAAATATCTACAAAAGAACATCCCTTCACTGCTATGTATATGTGTTTAACAGGTGAATATGCATGTGACACCTGTTCTACACATTTTTACATAATAGCAGGGAAGGGATGTTCCTTAAATTTGTCTACATGAGGAACTGTATATTTATGCGCACGCGGCATACTAGTACCTTGAGCATGTAAAGGCGCTACTTAAATATCTACATGTATGTAATACTGTATGTACTAGATTTAGGAAAATCAAGGTTGACGCATTCTCGATCGCCGACTGAGATGACGCATGCGCAGTGCCTTAAAATGACGTCACACGTTGCAGTCAAAGCTGTCGACGTGCAAATCTAAAAGTCCCGACTAGCTTGTTTTGTTGACTTGACTGGGTATAAAGCAGTGGTATTGACCATCCCTTGGAATTGGAGGTCACCACGCAGACCATGGTACCACATTGGACTTTGGATCGACGGTCAAGCCAGCTTAACACTAATTGATGCAGAATACAATATAGGTACATAGAGTGAGAGGCATTTATAACAGAGAAGAAAGAGAGAGAGAAAGAGAGAGAGAGAGAGAGAGAGAGAGAGAGATTAAATTGAATTTATTTATTCAACACCGTTGAAACCATCGAAACGAAAGATAAATGTACAATGACAATGTCAATAACACAAAATTAATATAAACATGACATGCATTAAAATACATGTTCTACCGCGATTTATACAAGTTTGTGATCGATGGTAAAATAGAGTAAGAAGTGGCACATGACTTGTGCTATTCGGGCCTGCATGAGTGACTCTCGTTTTCTAAATCCAAAAATAAAGTAAAAGAAGAATACATGATGGGTTTCCAAATCCTGTAAATAAGATTTGTGTATATATCACAATCCAAACAATCAGACTGGCTGCTATATAAGTATATACAACTATATAATTACAAAGTTATAATTCGTGGTTTTCACCCAAGAGTAATTTTGTGATCTTTTTACGAAAGGAGTTTCTTGATCTCTCTCAGTCGGAACAATCCTGGTTGGAAGCATATTCCAAAAATTACTTCCAAATAACGAAACAGAATAAGGAGAGAGAGAGAGAGAGGGGGGTTGGGAGAGGCTTTCATCGAAAGGGTGCGGTGCGGCGCGGCGCGGTGTGGTGTGCTCAACGCACCCATTCGATAAAAGGCCCCCCGCTTTTCTCGAAAGGGTGCGTTGAGAGCGGAGTACCGTTTTAACACACCCTTTCGATAAAAGCGGGGGGTCTTTTCTCGAAAGGGTGCGTCGACTAGTCTTTCGCATCAGTCGTTTAAAATGAGGATCTAGGACAGAAGGTAATAGTTGCCAATTTAAGTATATCGAAAATGTATTAAATAAAATGGAATGGTCTTGATTACAGAGTGTTCTCTTTCGTTATTACTATGTTGATATGGGGAGACAGAGAGAAGGAAAAAGGGGAAAGGGAAAGGGAAGATAAAAGGAAAGAAAGAAGAAGAAGAAGAAAAGAGGGAAACGGGGGGGGGGGGGGGGCGAAGGGCTCTTGGCTCCTCCTCACCCCCCTCCCCCCCTCCCGCCAAAAAAAATAAATAAGAGAGAGAAGGGAGAGGGAAAGAAAGAGGAAAAAGAATAAGAAGAAAAGAGGGAAACGGGGGCAAAAGGCTCTTGCCCTCCCCCCCCCCCGCCAAAAATAAATAAGAGAGAGAGAGAGAGAGAAGGGAGAGGGAAAAAGAAAATATAAAAGGAAAGAAAGAAGAGGAAGAAGAAGAAAAGAGGGAAACGGGAGAAGGGTGGAGGCCTCCTCCCCCCCCCCCCCCCCGCCAAAAATAAATAAGAGAGAGAGAGAGAGAGAGATTTGAAAGCGAAAGGGAAAGAGAATATAAAAGGAAAGAAGGAAGAGGAAGAAGAAGAAAAGAGGGAAACGGGGGAAGGGCGGAGGACTCTTGCCTCCCCCCCCCCCCCCGCCAAAAAATAAATCAGAGAGAGAGATTAGAAAGCGAAAGGGAAAGAGATGATAAAAGGAAAGAAAGAAGAGGAAAAAGGAAAGAAGAAAAGAGGGACACGGGGGCGAAGGGCTCTTGCCATCCCCCCCCCCCGCCAAAAATAAATACGAAAGAGAGAGAGAGAGAGAGAGAAGGGAGAGGGAATAAGAAAATATAAAACGAAAGTAAGAAGAGGAACAAGGAAAGGGGGAAACGGGGGAAGGGCGGAGGACTCTTGCCTCCCCCCTCCCGCCAAAAAATAAATCAGAGAGAGAGAGAAGGGAAAGGGAAAGGGAAAGAGAAGATAAAAGGAAAGAAAGAAGAGGGAAAAGAAGAAACGAGGGACACGGGGGCGAAGGGCTCTTGCCCTCCCCCCCCCCCCCCCGCCAAAAAAATAAATAAGAGAGAGAAGGGAAATGGAAAGGGAAAGATAATATAAAAGGAAATAAAGAAGAGGAAGAAGAATAAAAGAGGGAAACGGGGAAGGGCGGAGGACACTTGCCTCCCCCCACCCCCCCCCCCCGCCAAAAAATAAATAAGAGAGAGAGAGAGAGAGAGAGAGAGAGAGATTTGAAAGCGAAAGGGAAAGAGAATATAAAAGGAAATAAAGAAGAGGAAGAAGAATTCGTGTCCTGCCAGTGTCACAAATAGATATAAAAATATGCTCATCTGACGATAATTTAATGTATAAAACCCCTCACCTTCTTGGGGCTCCGCTCCTTGGATCCAACACCAATTTGTGTCCTGCCAGTGTCACAAATAGATATAAAAATATGCTCATCTGACCGTTATTTATTGCCCAAAAATCCTGAGCTTCTGGGGGCTCCGCCCCCTGTACCCAACACCAAATTGTGTCCTGCCACTGTCACAAATAAGGTATAAAATTATGCTCATCCGACGTTAATTTTGATGTTTAATACCCCTGAGCTTCTGAGGGCTCCGCCCTGTGACAAAAACGTGTAAAAAAACACGTTAATTTTAACGTTTTGGGGAGATAGGCCCCCCCCCTCCCTGGCGTTCAAGGGGGGGGGGGGGGGTGCTACGATTTTTCAAATTTTCGAGGGCCCCAAAAAAGATTAGTGCTCTCTAGTAATTTCGCGACTACTCCGGAACCGCGGCAGATATAAAGTTTTTCTTTCATGACTTTTTTCTTTCGAGTCTTACGCATCTTTTGAAACATTTTTTTGGTTGAAAATTGGACGTATAGTTGCGGAGTCACGTGACTTTTTGTTTTTGCATTTCAGCCCTAAAATCGCTCATTTTTGTGATTTATGTACCAAACATATGGAAATACCATTTATTCTTTTAAAAAAAGAGAAAACATTGGTTATTTGGTCTTGTTTCAAGTTAATGTGTTTGTTTTTGGGTCAAAATAGTTGAAGTGTGCTTAGAAATGAAATAAAACAACAAAAACAATGTAATACATAAATACAAATTATCAAAACAAGAGATAACATGGGGATAAACTGGCTCTTCCAACTTTGTTGTCGTATTATTATTCTAACGAATATATGTCGTGAAAAAGAACGCTTGAATATGAATTATATATGATTTATGGGTAAAAATGTGAATTCTCTGATCTTGTTTGCATAAATTACCATAAATATGCAAATGAGTTAATTTTTCAAAAAAATGAAATTACCATAGTTTTGTATACACTTCACTTGACATGCATGCACATTTTCGCGGCGATCGGCTGTAAAACGGCCGAGATCTAAAAGGGGGACCCCCCCCCCCCCCCACCCTCAAGTCTACTCCAATCACATTGAAAAAAAAGTATGACTTAAATCATCTCTCTCATCATTAAACCGCTATAGTATTCATGTTTTTAATATTATTTATTGTCCTTCCATTAAACAAGTTCATAGAGAAAATACTTATCTCTCTGCAACATTAAAAAAGAATCTTCATTAACATGTCTTAATTTGTATTGATAGCCTTGTGGTCGCCAACAGTGGCGTAGGTAGGGGCGTCTCCAAAGGGGGGTGTGGGGGTGCGACACACCCCCCCCCCCCACCTGTCAGGATATTGTCGGTAAAATTGCGCTGCCGTCGGGAAAAAAAAGAAAAGGGGGAGAGGAAAAAAGAGAGGGAAAGGGAAAGAAAAGAAAAAAAAGAAAAAGAAAAGAAAGAAAGAGAAAAACGAAAAAGAGGGAGAATAGGAAAGAAAGGAAAAAAAGAAAAGAAAGGAGGCAAGAGCCCTTTGCCCCCGTTTCCTTCTTTTCTTCTTCTTCCTCTTCTTTCTTTCCTTTTATCTTCTCTTTCCCTTTCCCTTCTCTCTCTATCTCTTATTTATTTTTTGGCAAGGCGGGGGGAGGCAAGAGCCTTTCGCCCTTCCCACGTTTCCCTCTTTCCTTCTTATTCCTCTTCTTGCTTTCCTTTTATATTTTCTTTCCCTTTCCCTCCTCTCTCTCTCTCTCTTATTTATTTTTTTGGCGGGGGGGGGGGGTAAGAGCCCTTCGCCCTTCCAACGTTTCCCTCTTTCCTTCTTATTCCTCTTCTTTCTTTTCTTTTATATTTTCTTTCCCTTTCCCTTCTCTCTCTCTCTCTCTCTATTATTTATTTTTGGCGGGGGTGGGGGGGGGAGGGGGAAGGCAAGAGCCCTTCGCCCTTCCCCCGTTTCCCTCTTTCCTTCTTATTCCTCTTCTTTCTTTCCCTTTCCCTTCTCTCTCTCTTATTTATTTTTTTGGCGGGGGGGGGGTGGTAAGAGCCTTTCGCCCTTCCCACGTTTCCCTCTTTCCTTCTTCCTCTTCTTTCTTTCCTTTTATATTTTCTTTCCCTTTCTCTTTCCCTTCTCTCTCTCTTATTTATTTTTGGCGGGGGTGGGGGGAGGGGGGAGGCAAGAGCCCTAGTTCGTCCTTCCCCCGTTTCCCTCTTTCCTTCTTAATCCTCTTCTTTCTTTCCCTTTCCCTTCTCTCTCTCTCTCTCGATCTCTCTCCTATTTATTTTATTGGCGGGGGGGGGGGGAGGTTAGAGCCTTTCGCTTTTACCCCGTTTCCATCTTTCCTTCTTCCTCTTCTTTCTTTCCTTTTATATTTTCTTTCCCTTTCCCTTCTCTCTCTCTCTCTTATTTATTTTTTGGCGGGGGAGGGGGGTGAGGAGAAGGCAAGAGCCCTGCGCGCTCCCCCCCCCCCCCGTTTCCCTCTTTTCTTCTTATTCTTCTTTCTTTCCTTTTATCTTCCCTTTCCCTTTCCCCTTTTTCCTTCTCTCTGTCTCCCCCATCAACATAGTAATAACGAAAGAGACCATGCTCTGTAATCAAGACCATACCATTTTATTTAATACATTTTCGATATACTTAAATTGGCAACTATTACCTTCTGTCCCAGATCCTCATTTTAAACGACTGATGCGAAAGACTAGTCGACGCACCCTTTCGAGAAAAGACCCCCCGCTTTTATCGAAAGGGTGTGTTAAAACGGTGCTCCGCTCTCAACGCACCCTTTCGAGAAAAGCGGGGGCCTTTTATCGAATGGGTGCGTTGAGCACACCACACCGCGCCGCACCGCACCGCACCCTTTCGATGAAAGCCGTTGGGAGAGAGAGAGAGAGAGAGAGATCAGATCGAGAGTAGAAAGGGAAGAGAGAGCATCTTGCAATATTATTTATCTTTTTGTAAGTAATGGAATATTGCCCAAAGTTAGCTATATACATCGTCATATTTTGTTGTCACAATATACAGTCAAACCGGTATTTGGGAGATATCGCTTCTCATATTTTTCTTCGTTTTCTGAGTGCGTTTCATCAGCTCCATGGTTTCATGAAGCCTGAGTCACAACGAGGCGTACGACAGTTTGCCGTCTTCTGACAACCAAAAACAGCTGCGACCATCGACAACCAATAGGTTGTAGGGCAGTATATCCGATCGGCTGTCGAATGTCGTACAATTTTTTTTTGAACATCAATTAATTTGTGACCGCTCGTGGATATATTTGCGAATGGTTGGCAGTTGTTTGGCTATTGAACAGCAATAAACAACTGGTCTGAGTTCAATGGTGGATAAAATTATTTTTCATTTATGCACTGGTGGTATATTCTATTTTACACCGGTGCGGTGGAAGTCTTTTCAAGAGGGAAAACAACATGTATTCGTGAAGCAACCCTTTGGCAGTGATTATTTTAAAATGCACAAAAACTGAACTAAATCGTCCCTAATGTGTAAAAGATCTGTGTAAATTCGGGGTCGATTTTTACATATGCTAGCTCTGAAGTGGCTTATTATGGTAGAGGTGTCGTGGTCTATCGTGTGTCACCGGACTGTGGATCATATAGTTAGCGGTTCGGTCCCACCGTCCTTTGGCAAGACTTTAATCAATTCAGCAAGACATTAATCTACATCTGCATGCCCTGCATCTGCCACTCTCCGCTCAGGTGTTAAATGGGACCCGGTAGGATGTGTGCGCTTGTTAAATGGCGCCCATAGCCGGAATATGCCTTGGGAGCGGAGCGTGTGCATGCAATATCATGTGTGATTAGCAATTGAATCCAGCAAATGGGGCAATAATGATTACAAAGCGCTTAGAAACGTATGATCGATAATTAAGCGCTATACAAATGTGACTATTATTATATATTATGAAATGGAGGGACTTTTTCGGAACCGTGCATAATTATAAGAAACGGTAGCATATGCATCAATGAATAGATCAGACTTTATCTAGCTTTTGGATTGACACTAGGTGTTATTGCCAGGCTGCTGCAGCAGGAAAAAAATACTGATGTGGAACGTACAGCTGCTCAGTACATTACACCTCATTCACCCTGACAAATCTACTCCTCATGCAACGACTCCAAACCGACTGATTTGTTTGTCTTTAGGGGTAATATAATATATTTGATCGGTCTGTTGTTGATCTGGTGATGGTCTCGCCGGTGTGGCTGAGGTATTAGTACTGTTTGCGTGGTATATTTTTGTTTGGCGCTTTTGTTATGACAGTAAAATAACAATCACTTCCTTTTCTAAACTCCCCAAATCTCACGTTTTGGTGACTATTGCATAGTACAAGGTCTAATCACTCAGACATCAGAAATTCGCGTGTTTATAATTCATTCTGTTTACCTCCTACATAATACAAACGACAAAAGAAGACTCAGTGCAAGCCTCATATTGGGTCTGTTTAGTTACAATGAATCGTGTCTTCATGTACGGTACGCTAAAACAGGGGCAACCCTTGCATTACGTGCTTTCCGAAGTTGGACAGGACCGGTATAAATATGTCGGAAAGGGCTACACAAGCACCAAGTGGCCCCTCGTCATTGCTTCAGAGCATAATATCCCATATCTATTGGACAAGGAGGGCGACGGATACGTAAGTTTCAAGACAAAATCTGATGATTTGTGTATGCTTGCATGGTATTGCAGTTCATAAGGGCTCCGAAGATCCAGAAGATTAGTTTGGGGGAGTCGGAGAGGGGCCCCTCAGGCACAGGGGCGGATCTAGATTTTAGGGAGGGGTATGCCGGAATAATTTTTATTTTTTTATTTTTATTTTTTTATATTTTTAAATTCGTGTTACGTTTGTCAGAAAGAACATGATAGTCTCTCGGTACGTTACGTCAGATATGTATAACGTAATTCTATACTATTATGTTCATTATGTGTGCAGATATATCCCCTGCCCCCCTCCCTACTTGATCATGCTGGAAAATGTGCCACGCCTACTAATAAAGTGCCACGCCCACTATCGAGCCACTACCTATACGCATATGCGTATACAGGACCAAATACTACAGATAGGGGATGGGTGGATGGGAGTGGTGGGGTGTTGTGAGTTAAGGATATATTGCTGGTGTTTATTTCAATTGTTGGCGGCACCTGGATTTTCAAAATTGAGCCGAGGACAACTGAGAGCAAGGGAAAATAAGTAATTTAATTGCTGAGTAGAGTAAGAAAAGGTTTTTGGAGAGGAAAAACGATCTCATAGTAGGAAACATGTCATTTTCACAAACATTCCAAAACTCTCAGTTGGTCATTTCCATGATAAAGATAACCTGAACACATAAAGCCAAGTTGAATAGCCTTGAGCGTCACCTATTGAAATGTGTGAACATATCAATGACGTATTACTTAGTTTGAACATGATTTCTATGGGATATACAATAGGGTATTAATTGAAAAAGCCCTTGAGTTGATTTTCAGAAAATAGTTGCGATCGTGTTTTCTTACTTTTCTTTTAAAGAACATCAAAGGCGAAGTTTACGATGTGGACGGCGATTTGTTAGCGCATCTGGACCAATTTGAATGCTACCCGGACGTGTACGGCCGTCGCAAGGTTGAAATAATCATGACAACCGTGGAGACGGATTCGAATACCGATTCAAAAACCGACTCGGAGAACGTCACTCGACCAGACCAAGAGAGGACGACAATGGAATGTTGGATGTATTATCTACCCGAGCCTAGTCCTACACTTCTGGAGCTGGAAACGATGGAAGATTATGACAGTTATGGCGCCCACGGCAAACCGTGTAAACCAATATATGTCCCGGACAAGGGATGGATAGGAGAACTAACAACGCCGTCATCATAAACAACATCTTTAAAACTTTTTAAGACTTTCAAAAATACTTCCCTGGCTGAATAGGACAGAATGATGAAAACAAGGAGACTAAACTTTTACAAATTCATGATGCTGTACACGTCTTCTGTAGTTGATGTTTATATTTATAGGGATAGTCGACTTTAAGATGACACCTTCTCTCTTTTTTATAAACAATAACATAAAAATCTATACTTTATGTGAGATAAAAGGGGTTAAAGTTTTTTTTTAATGGTATATTATGTTTTTAATAGAATGTGGAAATCAAATTTTAACTTGAGCTTGAACTTGATGTACAAGTATTCTGTTCCCTCAAAGTTTCTCCATATTTCCGACAATTTTTCTTTTCTCACACAATATGGAACCAGTGCTGAAACGCCCACACATCCATCCAAATACTTTGGCTGAACGCCCAAACCAGGGCTTCCGCTTTTCTTTCTGTTAAAGAAAAATAGGGAAAAGTTTGTTAAGGAATTTGAAACTAAAGAAAAATTAAGGAAAATCAAAATTAAGGAAAATCAAAATTTAGGAAAATCAAAATGAGTTTAAAGAAAAGGTGAAAATTGTCTCATTGTCTCATTTGTTTTACCCATTTCTCTAAATCAAGTGTAAATTTTTTTTTTCGTCACGCATGCTCAAAAAATTCGAACTGAAAGTTGATATTCTTTTAATGAAAGAAAAATAACAAAAGCATGTACCGGTAAGAGGCATTATGAAAAAAATTACGAAATTTCATTGAATTCTAGGAAATCTGTTCTTTGGCATCGACCCAAACAGACACACATAACCACCCACTCACCCACACACAAGCCTGCATCCCCACATCGAACAATTATGTCTTTAGTTCACAAAGATTCATATTGGCCACAAATTGCAAGATACATGTTATTTTTTATAGATAAATCTGATTTCCAAATTTATTGGTGCATTTATACAAACACATGATCACTTTTCCATCATTAAATATATAAAGAAGCACTTTTTTCCAATGTGTAATCAACAAGTATTCAACTTTGTTTCTTCAAAGTCTGAATATACAGAAATGGTGACATACATTCGCATGTTCAGTAAAATTCCTCAAGACGTTCATGAGAGAGAAAAGAAAAAAAAGTATTTACAAAACCATCGTGTTACCTCCTGACACAGAACAGATGGAGAGACAGACAGGCACATTAAAATATCTGAAGAGTATGAAAAATGGAGTCCGCACCAAGTCTATTTATAAGAAACTCCTTCAATACTTGACTTATATATAGTACACATATCACATACAAAAATACACACACATACCTTAACTGCATGACACAGACTGAACAGTTTGATCCTGTTTATTTGTTATTAGTTTTTTACAATTTTTGAAACAATTTCATATTGTTGAAATGCGAGTCTGATGTTATAAAAAGACATGCACAATATCCTTTAAACAAACAAACAACAAACCTGCAAGATTTGAGTGAAAATAAGTTATATCTGTCAGTGTTTGGTGAATTCTGTTTATAATCAACACACAATAATAACAATAAAGGCGAATTTTCACCCACTTCCAATTTAGTACAACATTACACTACTTAGCATACTTGGCCTTTCAAGACAACAGAAAAGCACTTTGTGAAGTTAAATAGCAAAGGAAACAAAAGTCTCTGAAATGATTTTCATTTCTTAATTGCTTGCAGCACGGGTTTGATTTTTCATGATGGAACATTTGAATATAATATGGCAGTAAAATAAGGTCTATTTTAAAGGTGATTTAATATGCATTGATACGTACCACTCTGTACTTTTTTTTTCTTTCTAAAATATATGCACTTTAGCAATATGCAACTGTAGCAATTAAGGGTCATCAAATTTTGATATACTTTGTTTGAGTCATGCTGGTAAGAAAGGGATAGAAAAAGAAAGACAGAGAGGCAGAGAAAGAGACACAGAGAGGTGGAAAGAGAGAGAGAAAGGGTGAAAGACAGAGAGAAAGAAGAGAGAGAAAGTAGAAAGAAAGAGGAGAGAAAAAGAGGGGTAGAGGTGAAGAGAGGAGAGAGACAAAGTAATGGACCTGAATAAAACTGATCTCTGTATTAAAGCTGAGAATACAACATGGTACGGAATAATGATACCCTTTTCTTGAAAAAAACTTTATCTTTGCTTCCCCGTCATCCACATATGAAACATTGCGATAACTTCCTGAAAACAAGAGGGAGGTTATCCACCTTCACTGAGGCCTTTAATATGAGGTAGCCAGCGCATGCTATTCAGAATGACATTTTGAAGACTTATATACTGGTACTTCCAGTACTTCAATACACACATATTAAACAATTACATTATAACACCACATAACCATTTTACGATACAGAACTCCACTTGCAACATTGTACATGAAAGCTTACCACCCCCAAAAAATAAGTAGTCGAAGCTTCCAGAAATACAAGTACACAGCAGTTACAAAATCACACACATTTGCTCCTCCAACGATTTAATAATACATATAGGCAATGAAAATAGAGAATAATGTAATATTTTTTTCAGTAGCGTAAAATATGGCTGGCAGACACGAAGTACAATTTATATATGGCAGGATATAAATATTTGTTGAGTGTTTTTTTGGTAGAGAGTTATCTTTTTGATGCAAGAGATGTACAGAAAGTGCTACACTACTTTGCCTTGACAAACATCAAAATAGGCATATGGGCACATGCCGCCTCATTTTCATTTCATTATGGAAATAAAATAGAGTAATATCGCATAATAAGCAAAATCATCAAGCACAGAATTGCTAACATTTTTCATCATTTAAGAAGACCATAACAAGTCAGTTTCATACAAACAGAATTCATCCTTCAAAAAATAGAATAGTAACTCCATAGTATATTCATTACCTCTTTCTTCCATCCAAAACCTAATAAATTCATCCTTGCATGCTCATACATATTTCATCAAAGTTTGGTTTAATGCTGCTTATAAGTATCGGCTTGCATGGAGATGTAGATATACAGTAGGCTTGCGGTTGCACCATGTGAGAGAAAGAGGGAGGAGGATTGGGGGAGTCCTGAAAAGGACTGTCGGTAATCTTTTTTTCTTGAGTGTGTGTGTAGTCCTGAAAAGGACTGTTGGTAATCTTTCTTTGAGCTTATAGCTCTAAAGAGAACTATAGCGATGGTTGGAGTGGATGGGTAGTAGGAGTGGCTCGACGTTTTGAACAGATTGACTATCCGTCTTCAGGATAGTTTGAATTGCTGAATCATTTTCATCATAACTAACTCAACAATCCCTTTGAAAATACTTAACAAAAATAAGATCTTACATATTTTTTTTAATGAAGAATATTTCTGATACATGGCCTTCCTTTCATCATAATGATGAAGAGTGATATGACAGGAAAAAAAAAATATATAGTTGACAAAGTAACTGAGTTCAAACAGGTAATCCTGAGGAAGCAATAAACTGATGTAAAATATCCTTAAAATAAATCTTTTTGGAATGTTTGAAAACAAAATTAACTAATGAAGTAAACTGAACCAAAGGAGAACAAAAAGTGCTACTAAAAGGCATAAAGTTGTAGCAATCAAGTTATCTTCGTAAAAAGATCAAAATCGTTGATCATCTCCAGTCATTTCAGCTCCAGAGTATGTACACCTGTCTGCCTGGAGTGTTGAACCATAAACCCAATATTTGACTGGACACCGGCCAGAAGAATACTGCTATGTGCTGAATGACACCTCACTCTCCACGATACACTGCTTGTAACTCAGCTGTTGACTCACATCACATGTCTTTAAGCTTCTCACAAGAGTAGGTCTTAAAGCGATACTGAACTGATGATGAACTTTCTGCCCCAGCCATGGTTAACTTGCCATCAGTGCATACCAGTAACCCAATACTTAATTTCCACTTCGCAGACAGAGGACTCGATGTGAGAACCAACAGCGCAGCTAGGGAAGCAGCAAGTTACGTGACCATACTGCTAGACCTGACCTGACCTGACGCTAAAATGGACTTCAGGTACAATATGGCTCTAAATCCTGAGCCTACTCCTGACTATACGCCAGGTTGAAAATGTTGAAGTCATCCGTTTGATTTCCCTCTTGTAAAAATGATAGAGATTAAAGCTGTACATTCATTATCCAAAGATTCCCACCCAATCTTGAAAATCAGATGAAGATGAAGGTAGTTTGCACCTACAAATGATAAAAATAGCAACTGCAAAAATTCAGTCAACGGGTCGCACCACATAAAATCCCTGAACATGATAGTTTGAATGGACTACAGCCCTTGCGAATGAAATTGACTATTTTTTCTATATCTTCTATGTCTCCAAAAATCTCTCTCTTCATAAAAATAGTACCGGTACATAAATGTGTCACACACTTTAAGAAAACACTCACAAAATGCCCTTCGTTCATCGAGGAGAAAGCTCGAGTAACATAATGATAAAAGTTACATGTAGGTTTTTGACATGGACTGTAAGTACTTTCAAAATAAATCTTCCTTGACATTTTCCTAAACTATTACATTCACACATTTTTCTAATTGAAACTTAACAGCGTAAATTATGTGCAGAAATTTACTAATAGGGTGACTGAAAGTTATGTCAAACCTTTCATGACATGGAACCAGGCGCCAAATGTGAATTTTTGAACAGCTTTGACAGAAGAAAGATTTTAGACCTAAAACCTTTGAATACAGTAAAACCTTAAGTTATTTTAGAAGTCTTTGTTTGCACATTTCAGTGCTTAGTGGCTCATGAAATAATTTTCAGTCATCTTATTAGTAAATTTCTGCAAATAATTTACACTGGTAAGTTTCGATTAGAAATACAGGGTAAGGAACAGTTGAATTATTTTGTTTTCTTTTGAGCAATGACCTTTCTTCAGTTAAAATGAAACAAATGCCCAAAGCGTGTAACTGTAGCTGCACATATCTATATCTATATTGGTCCATATTTCATCTTGCCCGTATAATTCATCAAGTACGTCAAAGTAAAAATAATCTTTTAAATACAATGCAAATGTTGAATTCTTTTAAGCTTGTGAGAAAAATATATTCTGATTACAAAATCCCCATAATTCATCAATTTTTCAAGACTTTATTCACACAAAAAGAATAAAAAACACCTCTACGATTCCAACACATTTCATTAACTGATAAAAAAAAAATTAAAAATGAAATTTTCAAACCTTTCACTTTCAATTTTATAGTCAATTGTTCTGCTTTCAACTGCTGCCTTTCCAATATTGCACAAAATATAATTAAAAGATATTTTAAATATCATTCTCTCACTTTAAAAAATATGTTCATAATTTGTATATACATCAGCTCTCATTTCTTTCTCATTCTAATTAAAACCCTATCTAGGTACCAGCACATGATTGTAATACTAACATGATGAAAGGGTTTGCTTATGGCCCATGTACAGGAACAGAAAGAGCTACTCACAAGTACAAGTGACTTTGATGCTGGGTATTGACAGCTCTCAAAAGGTAAAACTCTAAAGCTATGTAAAAATGTAAACTTGAAACTACGTAAAGATGTAAATTTGAAACTCCTTAAAGATGTCAGGAGCAGAGGAATCTAAATCTAAAGGGAAATCTAAAGTCTAAAGGGAATCTTAAGTATTTTCATATATATCCTATTTGAATAAATCTAGATTTTTCTAAGGAGCAGATATCAATTGAAAGTATCATCTATCAACTTTTGCTTATTAAAACTGTACATGGCTTTAGATATAACTACCGTTTTGAGAAACAAGAGGCACTTACTTTGTTTGTGCTTTTGGTGTCATCTAATTTCATTTCACGTCAAGGCACTGTAAAACCATCACCACCAGCACCATCTCATTTCGATAAAAACCATTCACACTATGCCGCCCTCTCCAACAAAAAGAAATAAGTCACGATTGCACAAAATTGTATAATTTGATGGTCAATAAGACATAGAAGCATTTCTATCACTTTCTCAAACCACCGATGCTACCTTACGATAGAAAGAATTGGATATCCATCTGTTTGGAGCCAGTAGAGCAGTATTCTATGTAATATGATGTGAATTAATGACTTTCTGGTACCAAACAAACAATGTTTCTATACTGGATAATTCTAAGTGAGGGTAGATGGGGGAACTAATAGGATCGCTATGAATAAAAGGCATGTGTAATAACAGAGGGACAATGATATAAGAATATCTGGGAAATTTCTACATGGGCAGTAACAGGATTACATGATCCTTTTTCCACACTTTTGCATGGCGTAAGTAATGGTCCTTCCCAACGATTGTCTTGTAGGGTCGGGTGATACACTTGCTATCCTATGAGACTGATGCAGGTCAAGCATCTAATAGAGATGTTTGATTACATATTTCTAATTTGCACGAAACCGACACTTTTCTGTCTTTCTCCTCTACAAACACATGGAAATAAGCTTGTAAAACAAACCAAGTTCTTCCGAATCATGTGTACCACATCATTTCAAAATTGCAACACAGACACATCTTTTAGGCACCTTTTTTTATCTAATCCTTATACTTTAGAAGAGGTATCAAAAATTGTCATGAAGCAAAAAAAAGGTCATGAAAAGGTACAACTCTTTTTAAATTTGTGCATTAACATTGAAACCGAATATTGTTGTACATCTGTGTAGTATAGGGATGTGCGATGCGTCTTCACAGTACGAGAGAAAGAAAATGGAAGAAGAAAAAGAAAAAAAAACCTGTAGATGTAAAATGTGCTAACTATACACTGATTGGCACTTTTCCGATCACACAAGATAAAACAACACATTTTCGTTGGGTACATTTATAGTTTTGCTGGATGATGAACTGCCGTCACGTAGAAAGCGATGAGTAGTACGGTTAGATAGAACAGGCATACCAACACATACGACAGTAGCTTGGACATAATACACTGTACTCCACATGTCATCAACGAGATATAAACCATGTAGTCTTTGGTGCCTGCCGGCTTTAGACAAGTAAAGAGCGGTGTTGTAGAAAAGGCCTCAATTCTCTGCGCACGTCCGCAGCCACCATACAGGCAATGGTTTGGACCAGAAGGTTATATGAGCGATCAGTGGATAAAGGTTTCACTGCAAACAGGGTGTTTCCTCTAGTATCCCTTCCATTGCAAAATCAATGCGTGCACTATAGTGTCTGATGCATCATGTACACTCAAGGCTCCATGCCACATAATAAAAGCACCTTTTAAAATCCATGGGGTAATCCATGGGAGGGGGGCAGCCATGCACCCCTATAAATTGTCTTGCCCTTCCGATTGATGCATGTATTGGTCACTGCCCATGTCCAGCGTTGGAAGTCCTAGGCAAGAGAGGTCCTGCATGGGCACGGCTTGCGCCCCTGGGGGCATTGTCATTGAGGAGTGCATGGTAGGCTGGGCTAAGGAGTGGCAGTTGAGGGGCACCTGGGGGAGGTGGGGCGTCGGCTGCTGGCCGGGCGGGCCCACCTGTTGGTGGGGTGGTGGTGGGGCGGTATTGTTAGTCCTGTGAGGGGTTAGGTGTTCACGATGCAATGATTGTCCACTTGTGGAGGGATACTGATGAGTCTGATGCATAGCAAACGGAGCCCTTGTTGCTGACTGCAGACAGAAAGACAAGTAAAAAAAAGGCATAGCAGATCAAAGTATTACAATACCATCTTAAATTTATGAGCAGTATATCCAAACTATACTAAAAAGAAATCATCATAATATGAATTCATTTTATTCTGATTGTACTATTTGACATTTCAAAGTAGTTTAATCAAGAAGAAATCTAACCAAATTACATGTATAAACAATATCATGAACGAAAATGTGCAAAAAATGACTTAAAATTGAAATTGGAAAGTTCTTGAAATCAAACTGATAATTGCTAGGGGTGTTCATCTTTGTCATCAAAGAGTCTTCATTATACACATAGCCAAAATATATGTAGGTTTAATAATTGTGTTTAAGTTGTGGATTATTAGTGAAACAAAAGAAAAACACACAAATATCTTTTCTTTTTTTACATACTATTCAATATTTCTAAAAAGACATTGAGGTTAAGAAATAAAATGTTAAAAATTTGAATTTTCATCCCAGTGTTCATAACTTCATGGAAATGAGTGGTAAAATGTATATGGTTTCATGTGTAACATCAGACCGAAATGAAAAGAAAGTGGGTTAATGAAAAACAGTGCAAGTTAAGTCAATTGCACCTGAAACGTTTCCATGGAAATCCGATTTTGTAAGAAATTGTGATATCACTAGAGAAATATCTTTAACAAATAAAATCGTCCTGATCAATATCAAGAACAGCCATTTGCAGACACTTCAAATTTTCAGGTCACAATACCTGTTGTTATAAGCCTTCAATCTGAGTAAAGACCCTATCAATTTAAGTTGAGAGAGCTGTGCAACTGGTCTGAAATCTAAAATCTGGCACCAGGATTATTAGAATCCCTGCATTAGCTATCCCCATCCAAATGATAAATATCTTGTATCTAGTGCTACTACAATGTCTTCCAAAGGCTTGTTCAGACGAGAAACGGCAAAAGCTTTTTTTTTTAATGATGACGTAAAATGTAATACACTTCACATTTCTGTAGCTTATGACACAGAGCAGGCAGGGCCTTTGTTGCGAGCAGTTACCATTCATTTAAATGTTTAAACAAAAATTTAAAAACGTGGTTGCTCTTTTGCGGACGAATAACATGGTATATCTGAACAAGCCTTAAATCGGAAATCCATGGGATAATACAGTGCATAGTGGTGTTTGTACAGACTGGCAGGCCCACGTCCTAGTCTAGTCTAACCTGTAAGGCATTACTCGGCAAATCAAGGAGGTTGGGTGTGCTACAAGGCCACATAGCCCCAGCAGACAGCTGTTGTTAGGAACAGCATGCACAGATAGATAGATAGATAGATAGATGGATGGATAGGTAAATAAAATTAAGAGATAGAGAAATAGATAGCGAGGTAAAGAAATATAGAGATTAAGAAAGAAAGATAGGCAGATAGAGAGATAAAAACATACAAATAGAAAAACGGAGTGATAGGTAGACAGATATATAGAAAGAAAGAGAGAAATATACATAGACAAGTGGAGATTTAAAAAAAGACAGAGAAAGAGAGAGGATAGATAGATAGACAGAGAAATAGAAAGACATATATATATATATATATAGAGAGAGAGAGAGAGAGAGAGAGAGAGAGAGAGAGAGAGAGAGAGAGAGAGAGAGAGAGAGAGAGAAACAGAAAGATAGGCAGATAGAAAGATAAAAACATACACATAGAAAAACAGAGTGAAAGGTAGACAGATATATAGATAGAAAGAGAGAAATATAAACAGACAAGTGGAAATAAAAAAAAAAGACAGAGAAAGAGAGAGGATAGATAGACAGAGAAATAGAAAGACATATATATATATATATATATAGAGAGAGAGAGAGAGAGAGAGAGAGAGAGAGAGAGAGAGAGAGAGAGAGAGATAGGCAGATAGAAAGATAGAAACATACACATAGAAAAGTAGAGAGATAGGTAGACAGATATATAGATAGAAAGAGAGAAACATACACAGACAGGTGGAGATTTTTTAAAAAGACAAAAAAAGAGAGAGGATAGATAAATAGACAGAAAATAGAAAGAGATATATACTGAGGGAGAGAGAGAAAGAGAGAGAGAGAGAGAGAGAGAGAGAAACAGAAAGATAGAAACATACACAGAGAAAAGTAGAGAGATAGATAGAGAGAAACATACACAGACAGGTGGAGACTTTTAAAAAAGACAGAAAAAGAGAGAGGATAGATAAATAGACAGAAAATAGAAAGAGATATATACTGAGGGAGAGAGAGAAAGTGAAAGAGAGAGAGAGAGAGAGAGAAAGAGAGAGAGACAGGAGCACACAACAGTGTTAGGGTTGGTTAGATGCAAGGCAGAATCAGTAAAGGTTAATAGACTTTCTTGATTCCGTAGTCATGGCAATGATTCCACACAATGTCTTAAATTTCGTTATTCTACAATTCTTCATCATGTAATAGACTTTTAGTCATTTAACAAGTCTGGACAAGACAATCCTTTGAGAAGCTTTATATCACCTCTGTAATAAAACATGCTTTGACTTTGCAGTGTGAATGACAAACAAAGCTTTGATAAGTCTAATGCCCTGATATATTTACAGTGAATTGCAGACTATTGTTGGATTCTTTACTTCTGTGACTTCATTTTTTAAGAATTAAAAGCCCTGTCCCTTCAAAAAGGTTTTCAGTCTAAACAAAAACTAATCACCTTTAATATAAGAAGGTAAATTTGAATTGCTGAATGTATAAAAGAGTCATATTTTTCAGCAGAAAGACAAAAGCATCCAATAAATGTTACTAAAAGAAAAGCAATTCTTGCTTTACCCTGATATCCTCAAAAAAAGGATGTTGGGGAAAAAGATAGGGATGAAATCATACTGCATGGCCTAAACATATGGGATACTGCTCTATATTTGCAATACTGCATTTTATCGAAACATTGCATGTTCATACCAAACAAATTTTTTTTAGTAGGGACCCTAGCCATTACCAAGGAATCAAGAAATTTACTAAAACTAAAGTCAGAAAAATTATATATATATATATATATATATATATATAATTCAATCAGAAATAAGAGGCTGATTCACATTTAGTAATAAAATAGCACATTTTCATGAAATGGTATGCACATCCTATATTTCAATCTTAAACATGATAGAGAACTACATGTACTTTTGTTGGTAACTATTTGAACACATAGAAATGAAAAATTAAGCCAACTGCATATATTCTTACTACAGAATATTGGACCCTCTTTAATAGCAAACAGGATACCAACGAGTGAATTAGACAGTCAAACTCATTCCAAATTTGCTATGTATTTTCTTAGTCAATATATCCATTGTTTTCATACTGTATGGACATGTGTCAATGTAGCTTTGTCTTGAAGAGACTACAAGAAATGGATGTGTTTTTCTTTATATAATTATTAATTGCAAACTGACAAGATTCCTCTAGTTTAACTGTGTGAATCAGCTTCCAATTTAGAAGTAAATAATACACTACTTTTAATAAATTGTTTTTGAGTTTAGAAGAAATTGAACAAAATGAAAATCAATCGTACATATAAGAGCACTCAATAATGTAGAATCAAACAATGATGTTAAAAGAAGAATTAATACTTTTAGGATATACATGGTGGATATGAGGGGGGGGGTCTAAGATATTCAAGAAACCAATTCAAATGAAAGAGTTAAAGAAAGGCTGAATTCCAATCAAAAAGCAAGCATCAACTACAACAGTTTATGGACAGCAGAGCTCTAATCTATAGTTTAAAAATGCAGGTTACTTGCCTGATGCTGAACAAGCTGTTCCATTGAGATAGTCTCATGTGATGCAGGCTGTGGCTTGTGTTGCTGTATCTGTTGCTGCAGTAGCTGCTGTTGTTGCTGAGGATGTTGGGATGAGTGCTGCGGTTGTTGTTGCTGCTGTTGTGCCTGAGGATGTTGGGAGGAGTGCTGTGCTTGTTGCTGTTGCGGCTGAGAATGTTGAGTTGAGTGCTGTGTTTGTTGCTGTGGCGGTTGAGGATGTTGGGTTGAGTGCTGCGTTCGTTGCTGTTGCTGCTGAGGATGTTGGGACGAGTGCTGCGGTTGCTGGCTCCTCGACAGTTCCAGCTGCAGGACAGATGGATTGGAGGGGATGGGAGTGGCCTGTGCTGACCCCATGGGTGTGGCTTGAACAGACCTAATGGGCGTGGCCTGACCAGAACCCATGGGCATGGCCTGACCAGAACAAATGGGCGTGGCCTGACCAGAACCCATGGACGTGGCCTGTCCAGTACAAATGGGCGTGACCTGACCAGACATCATGGGCGTGGCCTGAGCAGAACAAATGGGTGTGGCCTGACCAGAACCCATGGGCGTGGCTGGACCAGAACTCATGGGCGTGGCCTGACCGGACCCTTCTGTGGGGGTAGTCTTGGACCCCATGAGCTGCTCCTGCTGCTGGATGAACATTTGACCCAGCATGGGATGATGCTGCATCATTAGCTGTTGGGCCATCATGAGCTGCTGTTGAACCTACAATACAGATGAAAGTTTGGATTAATCTCTCAATCATCATAACAATAACAATAGTCACTTTTTTTGTACAGCAATTTTTGCAAAGATTAGGTATACATGAACTTGTAAAAGAGATAAATACATTTGATGTGAAAAAAGGGACAAAAGCAATATGGAACTCGAGTCCCAAAATACTTAGAAGTTTGATGCCTTATGAATCCATTCAAATACGACACACAACCGTTCCTTAAGGTAGTGAAGAGAGAGGGAGGAGGGAGGGAGGAAAAAAGAGAGAGAGAGAGAGAGAGAGAGAGAGAGAGAGTGTGAGATAATAGAAGATAGAGAGAGGAGGGAGAGAGTTTTCACAATCAAATCTGGGATGGATAACGCAGAGAAAGAGAAGAAGGCATTCACAAAAAGTAAACCTATGAACAATGAATCGGAGAGCAGATGATTGCATGAGGAATTCTGACATACCTGCTGCAGTTCTTGTTGCTGCAGAAGGATAGCATCCTGGAGCTTATGATGCCTCATCATTAATTGCTCCTGGAGTTTCAACTGGATAACAGTAATCTGCTGTGGTGTCAGGTTGCTATCTGATGGTGCGGGCTGTAACAAAAAATGCAATAAAGGGTGAAAAAAAGTCTGTCTCTACAGCACTCATATCTTAGAAGGCTAGAATTAAATCATAACATCACGGTAAGTGCCATTTTTCTATGAACAAGCATCTCATCAGAAGCTGCTCCCAAAAATTTCAACTTGGATAGCAGAGATCTGCTGTGGTGTCCGGTTGCTTTCTGATGATGCAAATTATACGCAATGAAATGCAATAGGGGGTGAAAATCAAAAATGCCTGTTTACTTTTCTTTACTTTATCTTAAATTGCTGGATTTTTTTTCTATGATTTAACTATTTCATGGCCTGGTATCTGTAATTTGTTGCATTGTTTCAACCAGATAACAGTGATCTGTTGTGAGTTCAGTTTGCTATCTGATGATGCAGGTTATAACAATAAAATGCAATAGAAAGTGAAAAAAGAAAGCCCGATTGTGTTTCAGTAATCCATCTCAAAATGCTAGAAATATTGGATTTCATTATGAAAATGCTTTTTTTCTTATAACATACATTGTATTTGAATAACAATGATCTGTTGTGGTGTGAGACTGCTGTCTGACTATGTGGGCTGTGAAAAGAAAAATAACCCTCTTATAAAAAAAAAAGTCTTGTAACTAGCTAATAAAAATGGCTCTATGTTTCACTCAATAAATTAAATATGACAAAATAAATCAAGAAATAGTGGGTGTAAGTGCCAGCTTGTGTCTTGGAGCTCGCATGAAAGTGACCTAAATTTGTGGAAGTTCACCATGTACATGTATCATATGATCTTGCATGTACCACAGCATATCAACTGGGTTGTAATTATACTGTACATGCAATATGAGGTGAGAAAGAAAACCAAAATGCATATTTGGTATTTTAAGATATGGATTTGTAAATGTAAACATGCCTGTAGAAAAACATTGTGTTGTCTTCTATTGTGCAAGTATAACGTCGTTTCAAGTGAATTCAAGTGAGCAAATGTTGGAGCACCATTCTTACCTGTTCTTGTGGAGGGCCATTATTAGGGAACGTGCCTGGTACCGGAGAGGGCTGGGCTACAAAGGGCTGGGGAAGAGGGGGCAGGGGCAGAGAGGGTGGGGGTAGAGAGGGCGGGGGTAGAGGCGGCAGAGGGGGTAGTGGCGGCTGAGGGGGGTTCGAAGCTAGTGATTCTGTGGAAAAAACACCAAGAAACATCATCTCTAGCTTTGTCATGATCTTAAACAGGAACACAAAGACTATCAACAACAAAAAAGATGAAGAAATACTGATCATGAGATTGTTTGTCATGTCTCAGAAATTCATGGAATTGCTCTCTGCATTTCATTGAACATGCAATATCATGTAGGGATTCTTTGATAAATACTTGACTGACTAATTTCTTTAGGGGCCAACAAATCCTGATTTTTGTTTTTCTCCTCGATTAGAATGATTTCCTCACTCTTCCTGACTGGAAAAAAGAAAACCCATTTTCCAGATTCGTCGTGATCACAAGGATAGCTGGGAAGCCTGACATTGCTACAAAATTGAAATACTGGTATGCACCAATGAATCTAAACTAAAAAACATACCAGATTTAGGTGAAAGTCTTCCACTCCTGCTTTTTGTGTGCGATATACTGGGTGCTTTCAAGCTGCTTGTGCAAGATACACTTTCATCTAAAAACAAATGGAGGAAAAATTTGTTGTTAAATAATTATAGTTAAAAATACATGTTTTGTTATTTTTTACACTTTCATGACACTGGATCTTTCACCTTTGACCCGTTACATCCGAAATCTAATCATTTATCCTTGCATGCTCATACAAACTTCTTCCAAGATTGGCTTGAATTAGTTCAATTCCTTAGAAGTTATAATGGTAAGTACATATTACTAGTACACATATTTTTTGTATTTTTGTTAACACTTTCAAGACACTGTGACCTTTGACCGTTGACCTTTTCCACTCAAAATGTAATAAGTTCATCCTTGCATGCTCATACATACTTCCACCAAACTGAGTTTAAATTGCTATAATAAAGTTATCACAGTAACAAGGCATTTCCAGCAATTTTAAATGCTCTCATGACCCTGTGACCTTTGACCTCTTCCACCCAAAACCTAATCAGTTCATCCTTGCATGCTCATACAGACTTCATCCAAGTTTGGTCAAAATCTGTTCAATGGTTCTTGAATTATGCCGTAACAGAAAGTGATAAGGAAAGGAAAGGAAAGAAAGAAAACCCATTTTTCACATTCTCCATGGTTACAAGGATAGCTGGGAACCCTGACATCTCTACAAAATTGAAATATTGGTATGCACCAAAGAATCTAAACTAACAAACATACCAGATCGTGATTTAGGTGAAAGTCGTCCACTCCTGCTTTCTGTGTGTGATAAACTGGGTGCTTTTAAGCTGCTCGTGCAAGATACACTTTCATCTAGAAATGAATGGAGGAAAACAAATGGTGAGATACTATAAAAAACTAGATGGAATTTTGACTGCGCGCAGTCGAAAATGATGCCTCCGCCATAGAGCAATTTAAACAAGTTTGGAGTTTAAATCTCCAGTGGTTCTTGAGATATCATGATAACAATCTCAATGTATGGAATTTCATAAGTTGACCTCTGTGACCCTTGACCTTTGACCTACGTGCTCCAAAATCTAATCAGATTGTCTTCCTATGGTGATACACACTATCATTAAGTTTGAAGTTTAAATCTCCAGTGGTTCTTGAGATATTATGATATGGTGATACATACTATCATTAACTTTGAAGTGAAAATTCTCCAGTGGTTCTTGAGATATCGCGATAACGATCTCAATGTATGGAATTTCATAAGTTGACCTCTGTGACCCTTGACCTTTGACCTACGTGCTCCAAAATCTAATCAGATTGTCTTCCTATGGTGATACACACTATCATTAAGTTTGAAGTTTAAATCTCCAGTGGTTCTTGAGATATTATGATAACAATCTCAATGTATGGAATTTCATAAGTTGACCTCTATGACCCTTGACCTTTGATCTACGTGCTCCAAAATCTAATCAGATCGTCTTCCTATAGTGATACATACTATCCTTAAGTTTGAAGTTTAAATCTCAAATGGTTCTTGAGATATCGCGCTAACAAACTCAATACAAGGAATTTCATAAGTTGACCTCTGTGACCTGTGACCTTTGACCTACGTACTCCAAAATCTAATCAGATCGTCTTCCTATGGTGATAATTACTATTCCCGAGTCTTAAGTTTAAATCTTAAATGGTTCTTGAGATATTGTGATAACGGTCAAACGGGACGGACGTACGGACGGACAACCCGAAAACATGATGCCTCCGGCACCACCTTCGGTGGCGGAGGCATAATAAAACTACAACAATTTGATAAAAAGCATTTGTGTGGGCTTGGTCATGTGGGGTTAGAACGACTTAGAAAATAGATTATTTCAAATCATGACCAAGTACATGCATTAGTGCCATGATATCAAACCTTTAAAGAAGCACATTTTGATTTAATGAATGGTGGACAACAAATGGTGAGATGCTAAAAATAATGCATTATGGTTGAAGGCATGGCCACACAAAGGAATTTTTCTTGTTGGGGAATGGGGGAAGATGCAATTAATTATTGTTAATTTATGCAACAGTGTATACATGTATATATCCAAAGTTGCAAACATAAGTTATGACCGTGACAGATTAACTCACTGCAAATCTAAGTAGGGGTAATACCTCTTTTTATAGAATATGGACAGCGAAAGGTTCACCATGCAATCAATCTATTTCTCCTCTTCTTATCAACTCAAATAAACAGAAAGGTCTTGACGGACGGGGGTGGAATATTAGCTGACCGACACAGAAGGGCATTGTGCCTGACATTTTAAGAGATACTATCTATTATTTATCAGTAGTTGCATGGCAATGATAAAAGGAGAGGGTGGAATATTTGTGATGGGAGGATATCGTTCAAGGCAAAATATGGATTATGTACAGAAGATATGATCTATTAAATGCTGGTCCTAAAAGGGCAGAGGTTAGGGATAGGCTGTTGAATCTGCAGATCCTACTATTGGTATTGAATACCTTGGCAGGTTTTTCTCTTTTTTAACAATTTACGTAGCTTCCATGACTTTCAACCAGATTTTGTTATTTCTAACATATTTGGGATGGTATCATTGTGTGAATCAAAGCTTTCTCACCAGTATATAGGAGGCATTGCACTCAAAAGTTTTGGAGAAGTGAACAAGGAAAATGCTATGGTATATTTTCCACGACATGGGTCGCAACAAAGAAGACCGCTCGATGGAGAGAAGTAAAGTGGTCTCGTTCTTTCAGAAAATTCTTCAAATAATATTTAATTAAATAGACTACTCAGAGGTATGGTCTTCCTATACAGGTGATTGCTATAGCAGTTTTGACTGTACAAACATGAGAGAATAATCTAGACTTTTAAACATACTTCTTTTCTCCCCTCCCCTCCCCCCCCCCCCCCCCCCCCCCCAAAGGGGATTAAACTCTGAGATAACTCATTGTGTGGTAGGTATCTATATTACTAATACGCAAAATCGCCGCGGGGGTCCAAAACGGGGCAAAACGGTTCCTCAAAAACGTCTTTCCCCGACCGCGCCACGGCGGAGGCGGCACAACGGCGACACAATTCCACAAGGCATGTCTCCCGTAACCCGCTTGCCACGTCGACCCGGCGATCGACGTCCATGTCGTTAAACGCTGTTTCGGGGAGGACCTTGCTATAGGATATGCTTTGTACGCCAGATGGCCTATGCCTGTACGTGTATAATATATGCGATGATTATACGCTCATGTCACACGCACAGTCGGTTTGCGACTTTCATTCTATGATTGCCGTGATTTGTGATTTGTATATAGTTTACGTGAATTAGAGGTATGAAAGCAGGGCTAACTTTGTGATTATCCCGTCCATGTTTACTGAATTTCGATAATCATTCTTCAAAGTAAAGTTTTCACAAGAAATTCATTGTAACTGACAGTTCAGTTGCAAGCTAGCTGCCTTGAGGCTTGAGTCCACACACGGACAGTGCATTGCGCCACTGCTGCCGAGCACTGTCGGAACTGTGACTGTGTGTGAGCTGAGCTGAGCTGAGCTACATAGAGTAGACTTGACATTTGACAACACTTTGATTGCCCCGATTTCAATATAGTTTCGTGATTATAGAGGTATGAAACCTGAGCTTAGATAGTGATTATTCTGGCCATGTATAGTTGTATGCTGAATGTTGATAATCATTTTTCAAAGTAAAGTTTTCACAAGAAAATCAGACGGTCGTTTAAAAACATACTCCTAGCTCATTAGCTGGATAGAATACTTTTACTATGATACAGTTCTTGCATCACATCAATGCTTTAAAGGCCCACTGCACTACTTTTAGCTACTTGCGCCCTCTATATAACAAACAATGCCTAATCGGTGACCATTGGTCCCCCATGATCCTCTTTTTAAAGCTTATCTGCCGTAATTTACAGGAGGGATTAAACCGCTCTACAAGGTCACTGGACAGGTGGTTATCTCATCGACTCAACTCTCAGTTAACATAAGAAAAAGAGGATCATGGGGGACCAATGGTCACCGATTAGGCATTTCTTGTTATATAGAGGGCGCAAATAGCTACCAGTAGTGCAGTGGGCCTTTAAAACGGGTATTACGGTGCGCCATTCATGGTCAAACAGCGTATATTATAAAAATCGTCTATACCCCATATAAAAATAATCAAATTTTATTTTCAATAGCACATAGGCCTCTTTCTATTTATCCCCCCCCCCCCCCCTCCCCTCATCCCAGAATCCCGTGGATTTTCCACAGGTCCTGCTAGTACAAAATAATTCAAACAAAATTGTTTTTTGTACCTGTACTGGATGACTGCCATCTGTCATGTTTTCCTGTGCTGAAGAGGGGCACGTTGAGGGAAGAGTTGGAGGATACCGACGTGGACAGCGATGCCGATTCAGAGGCGCTGGAGTCCCAAAGATTTGTGCTGTCCGACTCTGCACCGCTCATCTTGCTGTCCGTCAATACCAACTCCTTGTTGATATCATTACGAACATCAGCATAGCTAGGGATGATACAAGAATGATAACTGATCAGGGGGTGTTTCACAAAGATCCTAAGTTGAACTTAAAAATTGGCAAAAATTGACAATGGCAACTACTAAAAAGTTAGACGATATATAAATTTAAACATATTTGTGGCTTACACCCAGTAAATAAGTTTGATTGATCGATCTGTATTGAAAAAACAAGTCAGAAAAAATCTGGGAACCAGCGGGATTTGAACCTGCCATCTACTGCTTGCCAAGATTCCAAGATTTTTTCTGACTTGTTATTTCAATACAGATCGATCAATCAAACTTACTTACTGCGTGTAAGCCACAAACATGTTTAAATAATTGAAATTTCTCCCAGGAAGCATTACATTTATAAAAGATATATAAATTGTGTATGTAATCCCGTACATTCTTGTTTTATGGACAAGTGTCCATGATGGAATCTTGCCACTGATGATGTATACATACAGGACTAAACAGAAAACACCTTGAAGGTTCAAATTTGTTCGCTCTCAATTTCAATGACAATGGTCAAGAAAAAAAAGTCATAAAAAAATTGAGAACTCCCAAACATGACTTTTATTTAATACAGTTTTCTGTTTAGTTCTGTAAGTGCTCACGATAAACGTATCTTTCATGACTTAAAATCAATATATTTGGTAATAATAATTATGGAAAAGTGAATTATGAAATAAAATATAGGAAAAAAATTCTTGGATCTTGAGTCTTGACGACTTACTTGACTACTTGATGGGTACACACTATAAACTCTGGCTTGGAATTCCACTGGTTGTAGGTGATGAAGTAGCGTGTTTGAAGCCATATCCACTCCTGCCCTTTCGTTAAGAACCGGTAATAGCAAGACTTTCCCTCTCCCGTCTGCATCACTGGTGGTCGAGAACATAACATGGAATGGATAAGAAATGCATGGAATGGATAAGAAATACTTGGAATAGATAAGAAATACATCAGGAGTAATCTCAGATTAAATGTGATCTTGAGGTTCAAGTAATGACGAAAATTAAAGGTGTTTCCTGGTAATTATTAAAATAAAATTGATGAAAATTAAAGGTGATTCCTGGTAATAATGGTAATGAAATTGATGTAAATACAAGGTGATTTTTTACTTATGATAATGACAGAAATTACTTATTTTGGAAATACTTCAGGAGTAACCTCAGATTGAATGTGACAGAGACTGATTCGGATTAAAAGTGGTCCTCAAGTTCTGACAATGACAGAAATTACTTTTTTTAATGGTGATCTAAAGATCAGACAATTTTAATTAAAAGTTCAAAATATAATATCTCTGAATGAAAAACAAGAATGAAGAAGAAAACAGATCAGTAAAAGTTCTCCCTAAATCTTATCATTAAGCACATTTAAAGCAATAGCATTACATTTCAAGCTTTGTCTATCAAACATCAATCAGTAACACAGTATGCATTTGCAATCATGTCATCATTTGCTTGTATCAAGGACACTTAATTCCACAATCTGATTATGTTTCCCAAGGGCATATTTTTCTTATACCTGGGCATTATATTCATCACTGGAAATACTTTCTTATTTCCATTGCGATGCAGTTAAAGCAAGCATTAAATCATAATGGTCGATCACACCATAAATACATACATGTATATTCATAAACTCCTTGTCCCTTTGGCAATTTTTTTCTGAAATTTTAGACTGACCTATTTTTCTGTTTTCAGTCAAAGCAATTTGATATCATGGTACACTGCCCTTAAGTCAATATATTACATTATTGTAAGTAATCCCTGGTGAGAGGAAAATGATGATTATTGGAGAACATTTATTTCAGGTCTATTATATAAAATTACTTTCCCCCTCAATCTTTTTCTAAAGAGTTGCAACTTTGCAGAAAGCTATCAAAATTGATAAATAAACATCTAGCATATGGCCTGATTTCCTTCTGACATTTTGGACTGACCTATTTTTCTGTTTTCAGACAAAGCTATTTGATATCATGGTAAACTACCCTTTTATTATATTATTGTAAGTAATCCCTGGTGAGAGGAAAATGATGATGATTGTACAACATGTATTTTAGGTCTATTATACAAAATTACTTTCCCCCTCAAAATTAAAACATAAACATCTAGTATGGCCTGGTTTCCTTCTCACTTTTAAATGTATCCCTGAGAAGGGCACAACCTCCCACTATATTCTCGCCCACAATATGAAAATATGCCATGGGCTGGAAAATGATATCACATCCTTTAAACTTGAAGAGGTAAACAATATCTGGGGCTCCATCAAGCAGAGTGTGGGATATCTGTGGAGCTTAATGGAGAAACGATAATCGGCTTTTCTTCATGTCTATTTATATTCTGCGTTCGCACTAGCAGAAATATAGTTACCAGTATATGAGAATTGTAATAAGAAATTACTTTTTTTAAGTCTGAACGTCGTATATAGTTACGCTGTACAGTGACATGCCTGTATGAGCATTATTTTGAATGAAAACTTGATAAATATCAGGTTCCCCTTCTGGTCTTAACATCGTATATCGTATTGTCAGAAATCGTATAACTGGGTCAGGCCTATCGTGACTATTCATGAGTTTACACTCAGGATTGGCCAGCTATCATGTTAACTCGGACCTCCCCAAAATTAATGTCTTTTTACAACGTTATTCTCTAGTCTGTATGCTCCTTTCTCTATCTGAAGATTCTTAATACAAATATTCTCTATACAACTTTTGTACAAACTTCATTTAGTTTGAAGAGGCGATGGATTATCTGTTTATATGTCTTTTATAAATAGCAACTTGATCATCATAAAGACCCTTTTATTTTTAAGTGGTTTTATTTTGATAGCCTCCTACCCAGGCGCGTACGCAGGATTTTTTCAAGGGGGGGGTTTTAACATTTATAAATCGGTCCGAAAATTTCGCAACGACTCAGCCAGCCGCTGAATAAGCGGGGGGGGGGGGTGGGGGGGGGGGGGGGGTAAGAGGACACATTTTTTTTTTTTTTTGGTCCCAAAAAAATCGCAACGACTCAGCCGACCGCTGAATAAGCAGGGGGGGGGGGGGGTAAGAGGGCACTTTTTTTTTTTTTTTTTTTGTCTCGAAATTTGGAAATTTGACATTTTGCTCCGTTGGGGGGGGGGTAAGGTCACCTTTTTTAGGTCGGCCATGGGAATAATTTTTTTTTTTTTTTTTTTTAATAATAAAAAAAAAAAAAAAAAAAAAAAAAAAAATCAAAAAGGGGGGGGGGGGGTTTTAGGTTTTTTTTTAGGGGGGTTTACACACAAAAAAATTCCAAAGGGGGGGGTTTAACCCCCCAAACCCCCCCCCCCCCTGCGTACGCGCCTGCTCCTACCTAATCACTGGTATGAGCTTTAAGCTTCCAAATGACAGACATGACGTCAAACAAAATGAAATTATAGTTAGCCTGTTATTAAACTTTTTTAGACCGTGATTTCGACCTTCAAAGTTACCTAAGGGACCGTGCATACCCCCCTGTTACGAAACTTCAAGTTTACTCAATGTTAAAAGCTATGAGTAATGTTATGAGGTAAGCGCAATAACTATGAGCACTTAATATAACCCACATTTCTTGTCCTATCAGTTTTTTGTATTTATTGTTGTAAACATTTTGTCACATCCTGACGTTAAAAAAAAAAAAGTTACATTGGAGCAGGGTATGTGAGTTAAATGGATTCCCCATCTAAGAGGGCCCTTTGAAGCACTCCGCTGCACCAAGAGTCTTTTTTTCCCCCTATCATAATCCCCTTAACCCCACCCGGACTGCACAGCTCGTAAATCTCACTCCCGAAACTGAGTGACATAGGGCTTGTGACATGCATTGTTGGAAATACACATCGCCTGCTATCAACAAAAATAGCGGCGTACAGTAGGGAAGAGTATTTGGTAGGTGACGATTTAGACTTTCTGACTGATTTTGAGGAAGATTTGATTCTTGAGCCTGGTGTATGGGAAGTTGGAGACCAATACAAGTTATGCACGTGTGAAATTCCATCAACGGAAAATCTTATACGTTGCAGCGAACCAGAATGTACGGTTAAATGGTTTCATCGTGAATGCGATATGCGTAGGCCACTCCAGCAAAGCATAGATAGTTGATACTAATGCGTATTGACTACTAGCACAGCAGTACGTGTAAATAGGCAGCATTTGAATACATGAATAGTCAATACACTCACAACATACAAATGCACATGATCATCCCGATGCGGTTGATCGGCAAGTTTGACAGTAGACTCACAATTTTAATTTTTAAATTATTCTTTCTAACATCGGAAAGTTGAACAAATTGTATTTTAATGCTTTTTAGGTGTCATCAATCGTCACTAAAGTACTGCCTTTGAATGAAATCTGTTGAGTTTTGTACAGTGGTGTTTGAAATGTTGAGAATCAATAGCACAACTTTTAATACACGGCCAGGGTAGTAATGCAGCTGCAGCTATGTGTGTTTCCACCAACAACATCCAGCATCTACGTGGTGATGAATTGACAACTTCTAACCCTCATTAAACCAAATGCGCAAATATATAACACGATTTCATTTAGTTATTTTAAGAGATAAACTTATGGACTACCTTCCTACGTAAAAATTTCGAAAACTTTCGGAAAATGTCAATAATTAGAAGAGAACGTGATGATGAGAAACTTGCATTCACTCTAACTCATGATTTCCTTGGTCGATTTCGCTGGTTCAGATGGCTACGTCTTCAGTAGAGTTATCGAAGCACAGCGAAAGCATTTGATAACCAATAGAAGGTTGCATTGTGCCATACGTTGTCGATTCTGTATTTTATATGTTATAGCTATATACATCTTCAATGAATTATATGACGTCATTTTCTCGGTAACTCGCATGGCTTCAAAGCCTTTTTTTTACGACCAAGTGTTTGGAGAGCTTAAGGAAGCAGACGGCGTTGCGTAACACTTTGTAACATTTGGATCGCCAGAGGGCATCTGTGGTCTGATAAGGGCGGCTGTTGATGGATTTGATGGCTGAAGAGGGTTACATTACTTGTTGTTAAGCCAAGTTAATCTTGAATATCTTTCCCTCGGGAAATTCTTTCAAGACGGAATCTCCATCTAAAACACCTCCCTGATTGGAGCATTGGATCAAGTTCGTTCATTTGACCTGTAATAATGGAGCTAATTTCATAAATAAATGAAATTTCAGGTACTAACGTTACAAAAAGGACCTGTAACATCAACGGATATCTTTGATCAGATATTTTACACCTACAGGTGTAATAGGCAATCTTTGATAAAATTATATTTCTTTTGTTATACTCTATAGGATTTATCCTTTGTTTTGTTATAGAATATCTACCATTTGACCGTTTAGATTTTAAGTGACATTTAGAAATGTTGGTTAGCAACGTTACAAGTTAGTAATGTTACATCTTTACACTGCTATTTATACTTTTATGGTTTTTTTGTACTCTCATACCCAAGAGGGGGTCAAAGAGTCAAAAAATTCTACAAATATATATTCTACTGAGCTTTTTCATTGTGTCAATGTCTAGAAATACAGTTTATTATGTAATTCATTGACTTGGTGCATTTTCATCGAAAATAAAAAATGTCAATGTATCCTACAACTCAGATTTTAAACTTTTTTTGGGGGGGTGTAGTCCCAATAAGAACATTTCTATAAAGACCAATATCTGGTCAGTTCTTCTCTACAGGTTTGAGTGTTGGACAATGAAAAAAGAGCTTGCAGGAAGAAGAGAGGCTACATAGACCTGGTTCTTGAGAAGGATTATGAATATATCCATGATAGAAAAGAAGATGACAAATGAAGAAGTGGTCAGAAAAGCAAGAGTAATACGATCACTCATCAACACAATAAGAAAGAGGCAATGCAGTTTGTTGGTCGCATTATAGAGAAAGGATAATCTAGAAGAAAAAAACAATATCAACAGTGATGATTGCTGGAAAGAGAAACAGGGGAAGGCAATGCCTCGGATATCTGCAAAGCCTGAAAAATGGGCAACTAAAAATGAAATCAGCAATACTAGCTTTTTAAGAACAGCAGATAATAGACAGAAATGGAGGGCCATTATCACCGATGTCTGTAACAGAACTAGCACTGGATGATGATGATCATGAGTCCCACATATGTCAATTCATGTACAGTTTTAGATTCTTCATGAAGGGGGGAGGGGGGACACAAAGTAAACATGATTTCATTATTCTATCTAGACGTATAATCCCACTTTTAACTATTTTGGCAGAAAAGATGGAAGAAATACTGATTTTAAACTTGTTTTTCATGTCTCATTATTTATTAAATTGTCAAAAAAGACTGTTTTGGGTTGAGATCAGATGAAAGGGCAAGGGAAAAAAAATAGTAGTTTTAATGCACATCATGCTAATTCCTTGTTTCTTTGTAATTTATGAGACAAAGAAAACATCAATAAGTTGTGCGTGCCCTAGTTAAAATGATGAGATGGAGAATGAAGCAAACTATGGCTTCACAAACAGACAACACTGCTGTATGAAGGAAGGCAGACAAGGATGAAGGATGAAGGATACAAATGTAAATCTCAAGAAAAACACTTTACTTAAAGCCTCTTTATATATATGCCATGGTAAACAGCTTATGACAATAGATCATCATCATCCTTTCCAAGTTGTTTACTGGTAAGTGGCAGTCTCTTTCATAACGTATTTGTATAACCAGTACTCAAATTGATCTTCATTTTTTTCTCAGTGAATTTTAATTTCCAGTAAATTATCTCCTGCTATCTGAAGAAGAAGAGGAATATGAACATGGCTTGCTCCCTACAGTGCCATTCTATAAAGTAATTCATTTTAGGTAAAAGCTAAAGGTTCAAGATTCTTTGAAAGGAGTGAGATAAAGAGAAACAGAGGGGGATAAAGAAGATTAATAAGAGAGATTAAGGTAGTAAGGTACAATGGGCGAGAAAAAAAACTGGAGCTCCTTAGTATCACAATCAAAGATAAAATAGACAGGAGAGAGAGAGAAAGAGAGAGAGAGAAAGAGAGAGAGAGAGAGAGAGAGAGATAGAGAGAGAGAGAGAGAGAAAGAAGGGGGAGAGAAAATTAATAGCATGTACCGTTAAGTCTTTAAATCATTGCTTTCTCTAATATTCTGTCAAATGCAAAAGATATGATAATGCAATTACATTTCAACATGACCACAATCTCAACACTTTTTCGGGGGTAAATCCCTTTTTATTAAACACTGAGCTCCTATCCTAACTAATGTCCTTCCAGACTGAGCTCCTATCATCGATTTCTTCTCTGTAATAATTCAACACCCTTCTAGAAGAGCAATCACGTACTCGGTCCAGTAAGATTAGCTAAATCCCTACTTATATCCCACGCTTGTTCCGTCGGCACTAGTAGAAGCCCATTTGAATAGTTGCATGCCCGAGGAATGGCTTGTTCTGTCCAACATCCACTTCAGATATGGTAAATGAACAATTTTTTCGATGACTCTATAGCTATACAATAATCAGTTGAATTTGTCTGAAGGACTAGACTGAATTAAGTAGCAAAAGTAACATAACCAAATATATAATATATAACAATGCTATATGATCATTGTAAGGTGAGCATGTCTTTAAACATTTCTTTATTTTTTTAATTCCTCTATGTACATCCCTCATACAATAGAACAGTAATAATTGCTTAATTCATTTGGCACATAATAAATCTACATCTAAGTGTTTTACAGATTCAGGATAGCCTGCAATAAATCCTAGGGAGCATTTCAGCCAGAAGATTTTTTAAAGAACGTTGTAGTTTTTTGTATTCCATTGAACGATTCTCTAACCACTTTCCCCCTGGTGTAAAAGACCCCGCTGTGTGATTACCACTGTGTATGATTTGCTATAGATGCCAGGGGGCAACTTGAGTTACAGGGAATGATTTAGATTATGCTACGTGCAGTACTTGAGGGATGCGTTCTCGTAATGAGCTGAACCTTGGCTTTGATTCAAGGATAATCTTGAATTATGGAAATAACATTTGACTCACCCTTATGAGGACTGATCGACTTTTTCCTATGATATGTTTGCGGCTTATAAGGTGTTCATTTATGTGTTCTTGTTTTTACTTTGTGTTGTTGCTTTATTCAATTATTTTATGTAATTTAATACCGTAATAAATAGTATTATTGATGAGTAATATGAGTAATTGTAATGATGAGGCCTTGTTTTGAAGGCCGATGGCCTATGCAGTTCCCTTCCACATTGTCATTTCATCTTTATCTTCTTTAAAAAAAAGTATATAACATTGTACATATCGAGGGTTCAGTGACACAAAGACTTAACTCCACCCAACACCCCATTGAAGTCAATGGCTAGTGAAACATAGACTTAACTCCTTAAGGCCACAGTGCTCAGTGACACACAAACCACTTTTTCTCAAAGTGACCAAAATGGAGTTACGTCTTTGTGTCACTGACCCCACGATATATATGTACAATTTCTATGCTACATGTATATGATGATTCTTTATACGATGCTATTTTCATAGTGTGAAAACGGTATAAAACTTACATGCTTCATGGCATCTGCCGAGTTTATCCAGATCATCCTGCTGATAGTATTCATACACCGAGGTACCGAGCACTTCAAAAGGTAGATAACCAATGATTGGAGGAGCCCTGAAAAAAAGGAGAAAACAATTTATTTTATAATTATCAAAAGGCACTTTGTTGGAGGTATGATACAGTGTACAATGAAAAACAAGAAACTTTTTATAAATTATATACTTTTTAAAATACCGTAAATCTCCGTGTATAAGGCGCACTTTTTTGCCGCCGAAAAAATTTGAAAGTCGGGGGTGCGTCTTATACACAGGTACAGAAAAAAAAAAGTTTTTTTTTTTTTTTTTTTTTTTTTTTTTTTTTTTTTTTTAAGTTTCGATTTATGGCGCTATGCCTGGCAATGTCGCATATGTTTTCTATGTTTTCTATAACAAATGGTGTACCACAAGGTTCTATCCTAGGTACTCCATTATTAGAAAGATAGAGGATGCTATTCATATCATGCATGACTATTGATGTTTGGCATAGAACACAGAGCTTCTGCTAGGTGATGTGAAGAGGCTGGTGTGGGACACTTGGGGGCAATTCCACGGTAACGGAAGGACACTCAGCAGGGCGCGACAAACCCGCTTGCCCGACGTCCCGGGCAACCAAATTGAGCCGTCGGGCAAGTAAATCAAATTATCACTTGCCCGATTCGGGCAAGTGATACTTTTACAGTAATTTCCTAGTGTCCAAGAACTCTACCATTCACCCGTCAACTTCTTACCCGTCGTCAAAATCCAGAAGCAAAAAAGCGATCGTTCCGATTTCGAAAAAACTTCACAGACAGCTAGCCAGCTCAGCTAGCTCAGCGCGCATGCAACAGTGACACTTCAAGCCATGAATGCCGCTCCGCCTCCACGCACGGCCGGCCGTGAGCTAGCTAGAGACAGCTAGCGCGATCGTACCAGCTGCGAGCTTATTCGCGCTCTCTCTCTCTAGCTCTGCAGGCCGCACCGACAGGCCTTTGCTATTCTCTGATTGCCGATTGGTTGAATCACGCCAAATATGACGTCATTATTCTAGGGAAATGAACACGTGCGAATCGGAATGGAATAAACAACAGGGATTTTCTAGTAAGTACAAAAAGTCAAATGTTTGATATTTATTCATAATGACTGTTAATGATTGTGAACATATTATTTAAAACTCGCTGCTCATATAAATCAGATGAATGTGAATCTGATTATTTATGGAGAATCAATAAAATGCGTTTTTTAAACCTTCAACCATCCTTTGTTGACCATTTTCTTTGACATATTAGGTTATTATTCAGTACAGTTACACTGTACATGTATGTGCATTAATTTGCTATCTAAAACACTAACTTATCATTACGAGATAATAAATGCTTTAACCTCGAGTCCTTTTTCGCTTTAAAGTTTTGGGCAAGTGGAAATATTGTTTGGGCAAGTAAATTGAAAACCCACTTGCCCGACAGGGCAAGTGGTGAAAAAAATTCTTGTAGCACCCTGCTCAGACAAGATTTTTGAACTTCAGGTTCATACTAAAAGAACTGTTTTATTAGTATAAGATGTGAAACAGTACAGATATAATACCTATATAAGTGCCTTTAATTCTCCCCCCAAAAATTGTCATTATAGTTAAGTAGTTTAAGAATGTGCATATTAATTATCTCGGTAACGGAAGGACATAAAAATGGACATGGTTTTTCCAGTTAAATAGTGTTTATCCAAACTTTGTGAAGTTGATGAAGCTTTCCACTTGACTGAAACACATTTTGTTCCCCATAGTTTAATACATACTAATAAAACATTTCTTTTAGTATGAACCTGAAGTTCAAAAATCTTGTCTGAGTGTCCTTCCGTTACCGTGGAATTGCCCTTGGTATCATGAAGCCTTAGACTGTTGTTACTATTATTTGTGACAAGTTCACAACTTCTACTGCACCTCGATGTAAAATGAAGGTCCTTCCCCGCGTGGGTTTTCGGCAACAAAACAACAACAACAACAAAACAAAAAACGATTTTTTTTTTTTTTTTTTTTTTTTTTTTTTTTTTTTTTTTTTTTTTTTTTTTTTTTTTTTTTTTTTGCCCCCAAAATAGGGGTGCGCCTTATACACAGGTGCGCCTTATACACGGAGATTTACGGTAGTATGAATGGTTGACATTCAAGAATGTTTCATGCCACAATATATTAAAATCAGATTGAATCATAACAGTAAAATATTTGTAATTTTTAAATGTTTCTTGCTGCTATAACGACAGGCAGGAACAAACCATGGAGGTTTTATGTCACCAAACGGTTCTTGTTTGCAGTAATTAAAAGAGCAATACAAAACACTTTTAATACGAGTGCTTACAAGTGAACAAACAAAGTACTATAGGCTGATTTGTAATATCTTTCAAGGGCTAAGGGCTAAGACTATTAAATGAATGTTTATCAACAGAAATAATACTTTTCAAATGAAATGGATTCATTATAACTACGACACTTAACCTTTGAAAATTCCTCTTCAACATTTTCACGAAGAAAATTACAATGATTGAATGAATCCATGTTTCACAAAAATCATTCCCAGACATATAAATGTAGACCTCAGGATTTCTATTTCTATGTTATGTTTAATTAGCCTGTACACACTTGTTTATGTACTACCCACTCTTTCTTTTCTCTTTACTTTGTATAATTATATGCGGCCATTGGAGCCCAGCCTTTGAAAGGCCAATGCCCTCTGCTGGCTCCTCCATATTCTTTGTATTGTTTATATGTTTTTCTTATATGTATAATGTATTGTTGAATGTATTTTTTTACGAGAATTGGAAATAAAATGAATGAATGAATATCTTGAGGGGAAACATACTTCACGGCCCATCATAAAAAGGTAATAGCATATAGTTGAATATAGTTCTGATGAATTGCTTCATTTAATGCAGGGAATATGCATGTAATTCTTTACTTTCATCATAATCACTGGAATCACATTAACAGTGGCAAAATTATTAAAAAAATAAAAAGCAATGAATGAATATTCCTGGTACATCACAGAACGTGCGATAGGTTCTTGTTGAATGTTGAGATATTCAATGGATATTTATGTGCCATGAAAAAGTATTGAGGTGAATTTCATTTAAAATCTGTCCATCTTATGGCCCGTTCACACATACATGTATGCAACTGTGACAGTAAACCACAGCAGAATTTTTTTTACTTTAAAATGAATGACAAATGGAGATGTAAAACGTAGCTCTGTGCAACAATGGTCCTACACATACTCCCTTTTGTGTGTTGTAAGATACAAAAATTTGAAGCATAGTACGCTTTAAAAAACGATGTGGTAAACCTATGCATATGTGAACAGACCTTTATGCAACATTTTCCTCCTTCCTTTCAATAACTTCACATTTTTCTCACCAACATGATGACAATCAAAAGTAGGTCACACCATGCATTCTATGTCAATTGCCAATCTAAGGCCAGACACATTTAGGTCATCTTTAATCCTATGGCTCCCTACCACGCAGAAAAAACATCATCTCTTAACACAATTATTATACAAAGAAGTGTCAGTACAAAGAAATTAAATCACCCTAGTAACTGCTGAGTAAATCTCCCCCAAGGCACCATTTGAGCGTCTATCATCACAAATACCCATTTTATTTCAATCAGAAATATAATGCCTGTCATTATTTTATGGTAAAGGGTTTTTAACGACTCCCTCCAGTATTTAACAGCATATTATATTAAAACTTTCTTTAAACAGTTACAATTGCTTGTCTGTTTTGTTAAAGAAAATAATCAGAAATGCAGGAAATTTCAGATAGCATGACACTTTTGCAGATCTCAACTACTTGCATGCTTTATAAAAGTATCTGGCTTTGAATTAAGTAGGAGATCTAGTGTCTCCATCTTCTCCCACAAGAATACTGCCCATACTGCCAATATCGAAAATGGGCATAGAGCTTTGAAATATTTTATTTCTAGCACAAAACTATGACATATAATCATTATAAAGTTACAAACATGGTCTGCAGAGGCCTAGAAGGACTTTATCTTTTGTATCTTTTATCGCTGAGTTTAATAGCTGTAATGTGAACACTTAATTTATTTGTAGTTTACTTCACACAATTCTGGTTCTATAATACTTGTTTCTTTTCACTACCGTTTGTCTAGGACATTTCATTTCTTACTATATTTTGTTTGGGAAATTGATGTTTTGCCATTGTTCTTTGTCATTTGTTTATGTTTATTGTATTGTTTTACTTAACCCTTTCTGGTCCCCATGGAAAACCAGCAGTTTACATTATTTTATCTTGTAATTCATTACTCTATTCATTATTGTGTTACTGAATGCATGTTGTCTTTTTATCCAGAAATAAAACAAACAAACTGAGGTAAAGGCTATCTGTCTCTCAAGAAGTGGAATGAGGCTATGCATGTGATACTTCAAAACATTTAATACCAAAAGTTGGCTACCTAGAAGGGAAGTGGACTGTGAGGTGTGTTTTATGACCATCATACATAATTGAAAATAGCACAATCTGCAAAGGCTTATACACGTATTTATAGATAAGCCTAATGCATAATTGCACTACAATACAATGTACATCCCCCATAAAAGCTATCACATGGGTGGAAACTTTAGCGACTATTTTCAAACCCTGAACATGATACGGTTGCAAATGTAAATAAAAAGACTGCTAGCGCTTAAGGGAGAGAAGTGGTCAGGCTTAATGTCATTACTGCAGGTTACTTTAGTACAGAATTTAATGAGAAATATAAAGGGAAACAAAAAATGAATTCTTTATAGAGAGATGGTCACCGAGAGTATCTCCCTTTATCAAATCGTACCATTGACTAATTCTGAAAAGAAATTTGGTTGAATTTGTCGGACATTAATTGGGCTAACTATTGATCAAGGTTCAAGGTTTAATGTGTTCTTCTACATTAGTTTTGTTTTCATTCAAATATTGCAGACAAATTATTTTCAAAGCTTGAATGTCTATATCGGCAATTTCATGATTCCTATTTGATTAGTGTGAAATTGAAGAGCACTGCACTCCTTACAACTGGACCACTACAACGACCATAAGACGTACAGTCGCCTAAAGCTATCATCAAAAGGACCTTGAGAAGATGAGCATTTCAATTCAAGTGGATTCGGCGCCTTTCAAATCTCAAGCAATATCATAATTACAATTATAATTACCTGTGGTCTAAGAAGAGGAATTTCCAGTCGAGACTATGCCTTGATGTGAATTCGTTCCCCTTCTCTGTGAAAGTAGCCATCTCTCTACTGAGCTGCGTGGAGAGGAGTCTGACCGTTGCTACAAAGCAATACCTAGGGGTGGTGACCATGTCAGTGAAAGCCGCCGCTGGAGAAAGAAAAGTAAGAAAAAGCTTTCAACAAGATTTGCCAAAATAGCACTATGGAGAGAAAAAAAAGTAATGTACCTCTTTTAAAATTGACAAAATACCATGCCTGTGAATGCTGCAACAGATCAGAAAAAATTGTTATAAATCTTTAGAAGGGTTAATTATAGCCAAAAAAAGCAGTGCTGATAATATTTATCTATACTTATATAGTGCTTCATACTAGTTCTTCCTATTAAAGTGCTTTACACATTAAATGATCACATACATTTTAAAGAAAATATGGAGTCAACATAACCAGAAAGTGGACATCAGTGACATTATTCACAAAGACAAAAATAGACTTACAATGATAAATATTGACAGTAAAGCCTAAATAGTTTCATATTACAACAGCTGTATTTATGCACTTTATTCTAAGATCAGAGCCAGAAGGGCATAGCAGACGCTTGGCTTTCATCAGACAATACCAGAAGGTTACGTCATGGGGTGCGTTCATAGTACCTTTTTTTGCCGAGAATCAGCGTTTACAAATGTGTTAGAGGCAAATTTTCAAGGTGATGAACGCAAGCCTGTTTTCAAACGTCTTTCTATATATGTGGGTATACTGAATCGCCGAAAAAAGTGCGTTTTTAATGTGACATAGAGACAAGGCCTATATTTTGAATATAATTTGAATATAATTTGAAAATGCACTGATTTGTGCTTGTGAACTTGTCAAATAATAGTAACAATGTCGTTTTTTAGAAGAATGGGTAAGATCATTAATGTAAAGTACCTAGGATAGAACCTTGTGGTACACCATTTGTTATAGAAAAAAAAATTGAGGAATTATTATTATAAACTACATATTGAGATCTATTAGAAAGATTATTTTCAAACCAAGATGACAGACAAATTTGAGTGTTGTAGTTTCTGAGTGGTGAGTCAACACACTGATTACTGAGCTGGGAGACATTACCAGGCATAGCGCCATAAATCGAAACTAAAAATTAAATTAAAAAAATCTTTTTCTTTCTGTACCTGTGTATAAGACGCAACCCCGACTTTCAATGTTTTTCCACGGCAAAAAAGTGCGCCTTATGCACAGAGATTTACCGTATAGATAGAAACAGTGATATTCAAAGGCAAAACATGATAAATGCACCCATGGAGAGATGATCTCTTGAAAAGGTGACCAAAGCTTTCATTCAGACACAAATTTAGTCAATAACACACTTGTTATTTCTGACAGATATTTCATGGAAATTGAACCACATGATCCTCTCTCCAATGCCACTTATACAAAAAGGTTTCAACGCTGATAACAATGTGAAGACCTCTTTCTCGTCAAGCATTTACATAAACACTTCTGCAAAACAAAAACGGAATCGCCTACTCTTTCTCATCATCATTCAAAAAATTTGCTCCATCCTTGAAGGATTACTGAGCAAGGCCACAGTAAATTGACCCAGCTTCTTTAGGGGTTTCCCATTTAGAGACTAGCCTTCGGACTAGTCCTAGCGCCCTACCAAAGGCATGTACCTGTCGAAATAAATGACTTTTTAATAACTTAACATCTTTTGTTACATGTGCTCAATAGGATCTGGTTCAGTGCAGTCCAATAGGAGAGCAAGAATTGGTCCCAGATGGATGGTATAGAAATGTTTTTAGTAGTGCAAAAAATAACCAGCTCAATGGATGTATCTTTGAATAAACTTGTGGATAATCTAAATTGTGGCAACAACAAACAAACAAAAAATAAATGCTGATAAACACCCCTTCATATCTCTAGAGAGTAACCTTTTAAGAACCTTTTGCAATCTTTTATGAACCCTGGCGAAACCCAAATTTGCTATGTTCGCAAGCATTCGTCGCTCAGTGAGATACCCCCTTAAAAAGGTCTGTCTATATATCTATTGTGCAGAAAGAATACTGGCATGCGACTGTATGACTCAAAGATTGTTCTTGAAAAGTTCTACTTCTACTTCTATTTCTCATCTTAACCCATAACCTTGAGTACAATGAATTACTGACATGTGATCTTATACAGTCACACCTGCTTTATTGACCACCTGTCTATAAAGACCACATTTTTGTTTTCCTTGAAATGGTTTCTCATTGAAACATGCACTAAAAGAACCTGTCTACAAAGACCACCTGTCTATAAAGACCACATTTTTGTTTTCCTTGAAAATGGTTTCTCATTGAAACATGTACTAAAGGAACCTGTCTACAAAGACCACCTGTCTACAAAGGCCACTGTTTGTGTTTCCCTTGGGCAGTTGCTATAGACAAGTTTGACTGTACCTAAAAGACTACCCTAGAAAGATCTTTCCGTTAATTACCTTGGCCTGTCTTAAGCAGGGAGAAGCTGCCATTGAAGCGGATGGGTTCATACTCTGCAGGTTTGTCCGGCTCTAATGTCCCTCGCCTCATGTGACAGGAGAAGGAGAACCTCTGGCCTAGGATGTCGGGTGTGCCGTTGGACGGATCTGCCCTGGAGAGGATCTTGAACATCTCCGGTCTGTCATCTTCATGGATAAGTTCATAGATTGTACAGGACTCAAGGTCTTTCTGTATTTGTTGAAAAAGATGGGAATGGAAAATCAGTAATTAGTCTTTTACCTGTTTTAACGTAAACATGGATTATCTGTGAGCTTGAAGCCCACCGGGGCGATGAGGAAATAGCTCTTTAGACAACTGTTTTCCTGAGCACTCTGTCTTTGATTGTTCTTGCGTGCTGCTCAAAGGCATTCCTGCCTCCTTATAGACCCATCGGTCCATGCCGTGGTTGGTCAGCTCCTCAATTTTGTGACCTCTGTTCCTCCTTGCAAGATGGGGTTTGTTCTTCTATTTCAACTTAAAGACCAAATTAGTATGAGATACTAGACATAGGCAAGTCCGAAAGGACTAGAGATGTTTGATCCATGCAGCAGTGATTTGATTTCTGAGAATGACGAGGCATGAAACCTAATTGGTCTCCTAACAGGGAGGTCCCAAGTTCGATACCACATCGAAATGCTGGTACTCTGCCTTTGGAAAGGCAGTAATCCTAAATAATCAAGTCCCTCAGATACGACTTAAAAGCTGTTGTACACCGGTTGTTTATTCACAAGCATGTACTCGCTTTCTTAGCAGTCACGTAAAATAAATATCAACAATATAACATCAACATCAGAGTGAACATCAAACTTATATACCAATCGGTTAGAGTTCTGCTAACTGTACCTCCTCCAATCTGTTGTAGCAGGGGTGCTAAGGAATGGTGAACAAAAGTTTAACTGTTCATTAACCCAAATTATCGCATAATCCTCTGACAGATCGTGCCATGACTTGGCAGCCCTCGATATGTAGATTTGTTACAGCACTTTTGAAAGCATATCGGATGTACAGATCAAGCAGAGCCCCCTACGGACAAAGATGAAACATGCACAGGGCCGTGTCACAACAAACCTTGATCCGATAAACACCTACAGAGTTGATGTTTTATGAGTGGCCTTTGATTTGAAGATGCTTTCCCTGATAAAGTCTGCGTAGATCGTAAAATGGTAATGATCTTCCAGTTCAAATTAATTCCTCTCATATCAAAATAACGATCTACTCTATAAATAGAATGAAGGGAACATATTGTATCAATGCTGTTGCCTCTGTTTCGCATAATTCACGTCACTAGAATACAAATTTAATCGAGCAACAAGAATACTATATGTACACATTAAACTCATTGCATTGAAGGCAGACTGTGAACACAGGTGAAATTATAAGAATCATTGCAAGGCTGTATAGGGTGTGTCAAAAAATTACTTTACTAAAACTCAATGTCAATGTCAATGTCAATCCTCCCTGTTTTTTTTTAAAGAATAAACATTTCACATCCAATACAGAAATGGAAGGTCTTTTTTTAACCCCTCCTAATTCTAAAGAAAGAATATCCAAGAAAAGTGGAGGCAAGGTATTTGTACACTTGATTTAATAAACAATCACAATCCACAAACTCTGGAGCATGTGAAAAATCCATGATTCTAGCTTGCAGTGTTAATGCACCTAGATAATAAACAGATCTGTATTCATGATCAAATCACCTCAGGCAATTAATGTAAACATCTACTTTAAATCAATAATTTCCTCTGGGGTTTGCAAGTTGTAACACACATTCAATCAACTTGGAAAGACCCGATTTCTCACTAGTGTTACCATGGTTACTTGCTTGCTCAGGGTGAAATCAGCTGGGGATAATTGTTCTGCTGGTTCAGTGATTTTCTGGTTCACTCTCAAAGGAAAGCGTGATGAGTTGGTCAAGGTGGTGGATTTTATCAGAATGTCTTTTTCTTGATGGTATCTAGTTGATGTCATTTTTTTGTCTTCCATGTTCAGTAGGTTTGAGAGTGTAAAGGAACAACAGTGGTGTCTTCTTCAAGTCAGATAATTATTTCATCATCAAAATTTCCTTTTTAAGCCCACCGCACACTACAAGATTTTCTTGCGATTTGATTTTTGAAGAACTGGCAATTGTATTAGATATAAAATCTAGACAAACATCATCTTCCTGATTTAACTTCTAAATACTGATAAGAAAGCTAACTACCAGAATGTTTGTGTATTGAACTCTCCTATAGTCAGAATAAAAGCTGAATATTGCAAATTCTTCAAAAGTTGGATTGTATAGTGTGGCGTTTGCTTAAAATATACTGGTTTCATATACATGAATTCCCTTTCATGTGAGTTACTGTGATATTCCTAATGTATTGTATGTTCACAGAAAATTTGCTTTGATAAATACATGTATAAGGAGGGCTTTTTGGAGGCTTATTTATAATTGAAACAACTAGTCATGACACAAGATGGTCATCAGTGATTTGTACAAAATATCTGAAATATAATAGTGAATGTGTGTCCACCCTCAACCATCACCACCACCACCACCACCACCACTACCACCACCACCACCACCACCACCACCACCACCTCCAGTTAAATCCACAAGGAATAGTTTGGAAGATCCGTTTCCAAGTACCAAGTACTAAGTGCCATAGAACTGTCTAGCTATTAAAGCCATAAGAAATTTTCCCTGTATGAGTGTCTTATAATGAAAACATCATATGGCATATAAGATATCTTACCATTGTTTCAGACAAAAACTTGATAAATAACCACATTCCACAGCCTTTTTGAACATCGTCTATCAAATAAGTTTTCATGCACGTTTGTTATTATCATTATTATTTATTCAGAATTCAAGAAATACAATAAGCCTGACCTTTAAAACATAAAGCCACACCCTGTCAATCTTCCCTTACTCACAAAAGATGTAAATTGCCCGATATCATTAAAAAAAACTAGATCACAACAGAGACATCGTACTTTCAGGCAGACACATTCAAATTAACAAAGGTCCTTTTCTGTGAAAGTGAGAGGAAAGCATGAAATATATTTGAAAAGAATTTCTGCTCAATTTCTTTTCCCTTTATGTGTGTGTGTGGGGGGGAGGGGCATTTCAAGATGCAGTAATGCATGAAATACTTTGTGTTAATAATGTCCCTTAATAATGTCCTTCTGCCTGCTGCAATGCTTTTGATATGGATGACATGCACTGGTTACAAAAGTTACAATAAATGTTATGAGCTACTGGAATTGTGGCATTAGTTTGGCTGTGTACAAATTAGTCATAGAATTTGAGCTTTGTGACTGGTTAAAAGGTTTTATGAAACAAGGGCCCAGGAGATTGAGATAAATTGTACCAGTTTAAAGACCATACAAACTAGGGATTCTGGGCCCCCCCCCCCCTGTCCTTGTATGAAGCTCTGCTAATTAGCTGGTGACAAAAATACATTAACAATTTATCTTACAGGGAAAGTCCACCTTGATATTAACCTACATTAAGTTTATGTACATACAAGCAGAAAAGTAGAGAAACAGCTCAGAGAAGGTTTGAACAGATCTGATTGAAATTATGACAGTGGTGAATTTTCAAAGGTTGCAATTAAATAAAAAGACATTTCTTAAAAGGTCCTCTCCATTTTGCTCTGTACAAACAAAGATTCTACTTCCACAAGAAAAAAAATTGAATTTTACATGCACTCTGGATTTAATAAATGCACATTTTTACACAACCACTGCAGGAAACAAACCCATTCCTTCATCAATAAGTTTGAAAATAGAAATTGATGACATTTTCTATACAGAGCAAATGGGTCGAGGTCCTCATGAGGTATATCCACAGAGTTGCCAAATTGTGTTTTATCAATAACAACTTTGAAAATTCAAAATTTCTTTCTAATTTTTTCCATCAAACCTTCATTGATCTGTTTCTCTCATATTTCCCCGTCCATGAGTATCAGGGTGGACTTTCCCTTTTAAGCAAAGGAACAACGTACCGGTAAATGTCTCAGTAGAGAGATGACACTGTCTGAGGTATACAAGATATGGCCTTGCTGAGAGAAGACTATCATAAAACCATCCAGAGCTTCTAACATCAGCTGACTGAACTCATCATCAGACAGGAACGACGGTTTCCAGTTTTCGTTGATTGCGTTCTTCTCGGATTTCATCACCATGTCTGTGGATAAAAATGGGTAGGAACAAACAAAATTTATTTGGTGTCCAATGGTTAAAGATATAGACCAGTTATGGTCATGCGATTGCATTGTGAAAGAAACGCTGTGGAATCGATCAGAAAAGGTTGATCATCTAGCATATAAGTATTGGTGTGTACTGCAAGGTTCTGGAATCATGAAAATGATAAGAAATTTGGCCCAGTCTTTGTAAAGTTACAAGCACTGTACACAGAAAGATGTATATAGGACTACGCACATGTGCACGACATGTGCGTTATATCTATCACGTCCAAATAGATACACTAATTTACCAAATACATCAATTAGTAGGCGGTTTCCCGGCAAAATTGTTATCATCATGTATTAGTCAAAACATATTCTTTCACATGATTGATAATAAGAGCTTCCATTTCATTTTTTGAGAGGGGGCGATTCCAAAACTGGTCTTTACCTTTAAGTGGTCACTTCTAAAGTCTAATTCAAGTCATCTTCGCACAGTGTCTAGTAACTCAGGGGTGTTACTTCTGATTTTCAAGGATTTTCAAGGATTTTCAGGGAAAGGAGGGGGGAATCGATGGTGAAGTAAGGAGACAGAGATAGGAGATGTGAATAAGTTAACAGGATCAAAATGAAAATAATAGCAATTATTTTGTTAATGGGTCAGGCCTAAATGTTTGTTTTTATTTGTATTTTTCTTATCATTAAAAATTAAAACATTGACAAGAAATTAGACAATCATAAAAATTAATAAAAGTGTCAGAAAACGGTTACAGGAATATTTTGCAGTTTGAAATACCAGGGGGAATTCAGTATCTAATATAACAATAAGAATGAAGAATGAAACACTGAGGGGAAGCGATGAGAGCTACCCCCCAGCGACTTCATCATGATTTTTTTCTCTAATTTCAGAAGTTAAATTAGGGCTTGTCGACTTCTGGTCGCATGAACTCAAGTCATCTTTCAGGTGGGTACTTCCATTACTGCTGTGTATGACAAGGGAAAATATTAATTTTTTTGTTTCTTCAAAGGTTATTACTTTTTCCAAGTCTTTTTTTTTTTAGGCTAAAACTGCTGAGGGGAAGGGGTGGGGGTAATTGAGGTATACCAGCTCTATACACACACGACAAATGATTTACCGTACTGAGATTGTCAGCTAATGCATCCCTATTCGGACGCTGACATCCTTTAATGCGAGCATCAAGAGAACCTTGATTGCATGCGCACCTTTTTCACCTGATCCTTCCAAACATCATACAAAAAAAATATTTTTCCAGGAACCTGTAAAGCACTGCTTATTAATAGGTCCCTCACATTCTACTTAATCTATTAAATGAATTGAGAATCATTTTATACGTATGTCTATATTTTTTGTAAAATGTGGAACAATAAAAACTTGAAACTTGAAACATGCCAACATACATTGTTCACCAACTCTGCTTGAGTCAACTAGAACTCATCATGCCATTGCAATGTAACAGAAGGTACAAGTATATTCATTAGTTACCTCGAATAGAGAGCATGTAAGAATTTTGTGTACCGTTACTGTGAGGTTTTAGAACCATATAAAATACCGGTATGGCTAAAAATAATACAGATTGAAAAGCATTGCACATATTCTTTTCTCTGTGCAAGAGATAAAATGTATAAAAATGAAGGAGATGAGAAATACCACTAGCTAATGGAAATCCATAATATGGTACATGGGCAAGTTTATATGGGTATATGGGACTGCACAGACATGAGGCATCAAATATTACATACAAAGTTCCACAGTACTTCTAGTCATATTTAGAATATATGAACATATCAACATTTGAAGTGTAAATTTCGTTTGATTCTGTGACAATTCATTTTCTTTTTTTTACCAGAACTCACCTTTATCTTTAATGCTACAAGATATTCCTCCATATAGGAGTATAAAAGAATAAGAAAGCTGACGAATTGTTTCCACCCATTACAAGAACTCAACCTTCTCTTCAAAAGCTTGCCGTGCTTGGATGCAATGCAAAGAAAAGTGCATACACCTGTACATGTACTTGCTTGTTTGACAAATCGAATTTAATCAATTGAATGATAAAAGCCTTCCCTGCCAAGCTCATTACAATTTCAATCATTAATCACATCAGCCATCAATTTATCTCTGATTCTGAATAAAGTTCTATGAGGAAAAATTTGCATCTTGCTTCCTTTATCCATATGACGCAGTAAACCCGCGCATTTTTTTTTACAATGACGTACATGTAATACCTTACACATTTCTTTATCTTATAACACAGAGTTCAGTGAATATGTGAACATTTTTTATGCACAGTTGCAATTCATTAACATGGTTTACCTCTTCATATCTCCACAAGTCTTTACCGCTGCTAGTATATACTAATATTAATAATTAACCTTGAATTTACCTAAAATGGTGTAAATGTTATGCCTGCTAAAAGCAAAAATAAACAAACACTCAACAACTTCTTCTTTTTAATAAAAAAGTACAAAAGGACTGGAAAATACCTTTCATATAAAAGATCATAACACAAAAAAAAAACTCAATTTGTATTCTTCCTCTGAATAATACAAACTGATTACAAACATAGATTCAATCAGACTCAGTTAACTACGCATAGTAATTCACCCACATTGATTACCATAATCTGCAGGCACAAACCCTTCTTCGTCGGAACTATAAAAAAATATTTAAAAATGTTACTTATAAAGCGCTTATATAAGCGCTATAACACACAAAATAGACTGATAAACAATTACATATTAAACAAAACTAAAAAGTGCAAATAAACCCACAAATTACAATACATATGGAATACACATCAAAGTGAACAGAGTTAATTAATCATCGAACGCAACTTTGAATAAATGTGTCTTAAGACTAGTTTTGAATAGGTTAACAATTTGACAGTTTTTGACATTTAAAGGTAGTCTGTTCCAACGTTCAAATATCGATGGTATATCAGACAGTCTGAACTGTAAGACTAGTTATGTAGACTGCACGGTCTTGCTGCTTTAAAACAGCCAAAGCTACTGATAAGGTTAGGCTACACTTGAGGTTTTATTTAAATGTGCATAAGTGTCAAGTATAGTCTTAGTATGCAGACCACACAATGTTCATACCACATGTATAATTTGTCACCAAAAAAAGAGAGGGAAAATAATTAAGTGAGATATTTGTAAGGGATTCCAAAACAGAGCAATTACTCCACCCATGTAGTATTCATTAAAGGCACTATGCATCATATTGATAAAATCTTCTGCTGAGAGCCAATAGGGCATCGAGTCATGAGTCAACATAGCTAACACCATTCTATGATATGTCACATTCAATAAGGAACATAAATTGGGCCAAATCAATTTTAACATACTTTAAAAATGACAAAACTTGGTAAGGGTATGAATAATTTAGTTGTTATCTGTATATATGTATCTCTCTCCTTTTTCTCCTTCAAATTAAATTAACTTGACAGGATAGTCCGTTTCCCTCCCACATCTTGCAGTTCCTCTTGAAAATGTAAAATCTATCCCCAGAAGGCGTGATTAGTTTCAATAAAGCCAATTACATAATAGCCCAATACTCCTAATTGAGTGTCAACTCTTGTTAACTTAATACTAAAGGTAATCAAGCATTCAAGCCTATATCTACAGTAGTTTTGGCAAAGCCCCAAGATGACCTTTCTGCAAGATTTCTGTGATTTTGTTTGCTGTCAAACAGCAAGACACTAAACAATTTTCAGTTGCAGTACTGTAAACCTAGAAACTACAGTGCACATACATGTATGTCTGCGAATTTAACACAAATGGTTCTCGTGTAAAAAACATGGAATTTTCATGTGGTGACATTTTCTGGTTTTACATACCGTAAACTCTAAGTCCTGATTAAAAAGGTGATAGTGATTTAAATACTGGCAATGGATGTAAATTTCAATGCGTGACAGGCTTGTATTCAACAAAACAGAAAACTAAAGTGTGTACACATTTGTGTGAAACTCTGTGACAGTTGAGTATGATACACTTTCATCATTGACAGATATGACCACTTGCCTCAATTCAGAAAGAAAGTTCAAATTTGATATCACATGACTTTTTGTTTTCTATGTTGAGTTTGTAAGTATTGAAGTATACTTTCTAAATGTACTATGGAATTTTATTCTAACTGTTCTGTATAAACGTTATGCTTTTTGATGTAAATATGTTCATGTTTATTCAGGGCCCCATGGAAGACCACTACTTATTGGTCAATGGGCTACCCTGACAAAAGATTAGAAATAAATAAATGAATAAATTGGACGTACCATTATGAGCCTTTAAGAAGTGTATGGTGGCTCTGAGGACTGCGGACTTGTCCAGCTTTCTCGTCTTGGTCGAAACCATTGAGCATAGCTCCTGTATAAGTACATTGAACTGATCTCTCCTCTTCTTCTCACTCGCATTGCGAGATTTCCTGCAGAAAAATTAAAAGCAAAACACAAAGACCCACATATTTTACTGAATTGTACCTTCATATCTTATTATTCAAAAGAAAAAATATAAACAAAACACAAAGACCCACAAATTGTGCCTTCATATCGTATTATTCAAATGGGATTTAGCAACATAGCATTTGTATAGAATTATATAAATAGTCGTAATTACCATGCGCCTATTAGTACTATTTCAAGTCAGAGTAAATTATTCATATTATTATCTTTTGAGTTCCTAAATATGTAACAGTTAAAATACTACACGGAGATCATTGCACAGCTGGGCAGATTACTACTACAAAATTTTGAGACTGTGAGCCAACCCTGGTTTTTTTTCTCTAGTTTTTATTATGGTATAATGAAACTTTGTAAACCAAAACATCCATTCTACTATAAATTGAATGTTGTATAAAGAAAAATAATGATAGTCTTTGTAAAACTGCAAAGAAATAGTAATAAACATCTGAGGGATAAATAACCTGAAATAAAAATTTAAAGTGTACCATTGCAAGCACCAAAAATATTGTGTTCTGAATGTTGGTAGTTCCATGTCGTAATACTACAATCAAAATATAAGCTTCATATATTACTTCTGTAAAGAGATATAGCAAGTCTACATACACTCTCAATTAACTTAAAAGCGACTCGTGAGTACATGTAGGCTACTCGATGCACATGTACGCCTTGGCATAGAAACGGCCTGGAATGAACCCACGACCTACTTGTGCTCTGTTTAATGTTATTTTTTATTTTATTCATACTCAAAATTTATCCATTACCCAACACAAAACCAGGTGAAGATTTATATAGATCTGTACATAAACTATTTTAAGGTGATTGGTACACTTAAATGACAAAGGATACAATGAGTGATTTCAAGTTGGGTGTTTAAGGCTGGTGTTAGTGTTTAATAAACACTAACATCAGCCTAAACACCGAAATGGAAATCAGCTGGTGTTAAGGCTTGACCTCTGAATATCGTCAACTTCCTGTAACTAGTGTTATGGATTTTGCAAAATTGTTGTCTGCTGAACCGACCTTTGTGGCTGGTGTTAATATTTACGTACAAATGTCCTATTCACCAACACTAGCCACTAGGGATTAAGCAAATGTTGATTTCCAGTTGGGTGTTAGTGTTGTACCCGCACACAGTCAACGCACGAACGACGCCAATTTATTGTCTGACGATCAAATAAAAATATGTGAAACAGGTAATTCATATAGTCTTTTGTATAAAATGAGTTATTTTATAAGACCAGAGAAATAGGTGTAAATTTATTCTGTACTTTTCATGATATCTTTAGTTTTGATGTACTATTTTTAAAGCATCGTCGTGAAATCAAGGATGTGGTGACGTCACAGCTGGTGTGAAGCTATCGATTTTGATATCGGTATCGGGCTCTTAATTTCATCAGCAAATTTTTCGCTCGATTTAAGAGCTCTTGAATGCTCTAAACACTAACACTAACACCCAACTTGAAATCACTCAATGTGAGTAAACAAATTTCAAGCAGAAAATAAGAGAGGGCAGAGGGAATAGAGAGAAATGTTGAATGAATATATACAAGGGAGGAATGGGATAAGGGTGACAGAGAAAGAAAGAACGATGAAAATGATCTTACCTCTTTGTGGTATCTTTACTATCTTCACCATCATCATACATATCACATCTGAAAAGAAAAGAAAGAGGAAGAAACAAATTTGATAATGCAAGGTTGTCTACGGATTTCATTGATATAATACTGCACTAATTACAAAATTAATACATTTGACTACCGTATTCATGTAAAGTTATTGCAAACCTATGGTTTGAGATCTAGCTCTGGCTGACCTGAAAATAGCAGAAATATGTTGTTTTTTAATGGATATTTTGCACATTTGTTCAAAATGCATTCAATATTTAGGTGCACAAGCAATGACCTTTCTTACCAGTACTAAAGCAGGGCTCCCACTTAGCCGAGTTGGAACCTCGAGTTGTGGCAAGCTGGCGCGATCTTATGGCAAGCCGTTTTAATATTAATTGATATCAATAAATAAATTCTAGTTATCAAGAAATAATTTTATGTTGTAAAGCAATGGTAATTCTTGATATCAAGAATTCGATTTCGTGATATCAGGAATTGAATTCTTGATATCAAGAAATATGTTTTAATGATAAAACTGCTTGCCATAAGATCGCGCCAGCTCGCCACAACTCGAGGCTCCAACTCGGCTAAGTGGGAGCCCTGCTTTATATACCATAATAAAAACATTATGGGAATAAAAATCGCACAAAGGGTGAAAGGAATAAAAGAAGAAATTTCATCACAATCTGGAAATAACACCAAATGATAACTTTTGCAGCAAAGAAATAATTCTGTTCACATTAAATATCATTAACATGTAAATTTTTTTTTGTGTGTGATTTTAAATGAGTAAATTAAGTTAGCTGTAAGGGGTAAAAATGATCTTGCAAGTATAATAGCTCATTTGAAAAAATGTCTGCAAGTCAAAGAAAGTTTTACAATTAACATTTTCTTGTTTAAAATGTATAAAGGAAAGTACCTTAAATGATACCTGTTTAGCAAACAAGAAACTTGCAAAACAATAAACCCTTTTTCATATTTTTAAATATTGTATTGTAGAGTGAAGAATATTGATGTTGGTGGACCCTTGAGCTAAATGTACACACAAAATCATTTCTGTTTTCTGCAAATTTTGACAAGTCAAGTGCATGTCAAGTCCATATGCAATCCTTCATGGAATCCCTATATTAACTAGAGCTGTTTTATTCCACTTTCCTTCAAACCCTTCAAGCCAATTTGAGCACTCAGAGTGAAATTTCATTTCATTTCAAGAGCAAGGCAAACGCGTAGTGTCGTCTCGCCTGCGTCTCGCAATGTGAGTGAGAATGCAGTACTCATATACAGTGTATATGGAAATTATGAAATTTCAGGCTTTCAGTAGTTCAAGATGTGAATTTTGGTTGTGGCACTGATTAAAAATGCAGTAAATGCTATCTCAAGCTGCACTCTTTTCTAAGTGAGAAACCGAATGTTATTTTTGTTTGTTAAATCAACTGCGCAAAGTTAAGAATTGTGCCTGTGCCTCTGACCCAATATCCCTCAAGCGCAATGTTTCTTATCCGACACAACTCTAGACCTGATGATACCAAATCCTCTTGAGATTGTTTTACTCTCATCAGGAGAACAAGCAGGAGGCATGATGAAACTGCACTGGATCATCTTTGAAATATTTACCCAAGTTGGCCTTTAACCTTTGACCTCATCATCAAAGGGCGCGTTTATCGGGGCTTGCCACTAGATATGTACATATCGTACCCCACTATGTGCACACATTGTGTGCGGGTAAGCCTGAATCCGATGACCGGGGTAATAATATATCTGTAAAGCGCTTAGGTACATCGTTGGATCGGTGTATTGAGCGCTATATAAAAAACCGGATTATTATTATTATTATTACTATCATACCCCACTATCGAACCCCACAGTTACGATCGTGATTTGCGGGATGTCGCGTTTATCGACTCTTCATGATTCACAATAAAGGCCTTGTCTCTTCGCAGCTGCTAAGCGCTATTTCTCCAAACCGGAAACTAGCCTGGAAATTCCTATTTGTATGTGAGGTTCAAAACAGCTTTGCGTTTATCGATTTCTCAGAAACGTGATTCTGGCTGTATGTCACATTCAAAACACACCGTTTTGCATCTTTAGATATGCCCATATCTAAAGCCCTTTAAAAAAGGCTTTGCGTTTATCACCTTCTAAATTTTCCTGAAAGACGTTTGAGAAACCTGATTCTAGCCAAAAATTTGGTCGATAAACGCAACCAAAGATATATAGAATTATTGCATAATACAGTGCTTTTTAATTTGAAGGTTCATTGGCATTTTGACCTTTGTCAGATTTGACCCTCTTTTGACCTTATCTTGCATGTTCGAGGGATGTACCTGTGATATGAATTTGTTGATCCTACCTCAAAAAGAAAGTTATTGCAGTACAGCATGATTGTCTACAATGACGAGAATTTAATATTATCTCAAGCTTAAGATTGCTCACGCTAAAATGGGAATGTATACACTTAGCCATTCTGGTTTCAAAGTTCAAACATATAGGCCCGAATTCACAAAGGAGGTGTGTCTACAAACCTCCTTTGTGAATTTAGGCCACAACATGGAGTAGAAAACCATTCCTGCCTGTAAATGGCACATGGCTGTTAATAACCTGAAGAGTGGGATCTAATATGAATGTAGACAATGAACTTTTGTATGGTTATATAACTTCTAAATATATAAAATGATCGATGTAGCACTCCATTGTCAGTCAGACAAATATACATTAAAAACCTCAAGCAGCAATAGACAAGTACTCTTCAATAAGTTAGAATTAAATGGAAAAGAGCCACCAGTATATTATACAATTTCTCCATGGTTTGTAATGCGCCTAATCTCTGACCACAGCTATTTGACTTCACACTCACAGTACAGGTGTACATTATTTTCAGAGTACTGGTATATTATTCTAGACTCTAGAGGATCTGCATTTACACTTCAAGCAAAAAACATCATTTTTTTCAGAGGAATTGTGGTGAAGTGTTAGATTAGAATCTCTGACTGCAGACTAGCTTCAGTCAGTCTACATCTGCAAGACAACATGGAGAGGATTTTGCCTTACATTTCTCAAAGGAAGGGAAATTGTAGAGCACACTTGCAAGTGAATCAGCAGAAAAAATTACAACAATTTCATCATATTTGACCTCAAACTGTACACCAAAAATATTGCATAACCACTCGATGGGCACTGCCTGCTCATACAAACTTATATCCCCATAGGCAAAAAGCGATGACAAAGACTTTTTACTTGAACATTTTATTGAATTAACACTATTATTTGAGTCTATAGCCATGTTTGGAAACACATTTGTAATTTTATAGTTTGTACGGATATCATGAACTAGAATGAATGGTAGGAATAGACCATCGAATTTGACATTAGACTATTTTGAGAAGCTTGATATACTGTAATTAACGGTGTATTAACCGCACCTTTTTGTCGCCGAAAAAATTCAAAGTCGGGGGTGCGGTTTATACACGGTACACCAAAAAACACCTGGCGCTATGCCTGGCAATGTCTCCCAGCTCAGTAATCGGTGTGATGACTCGCCACTTGGAAACTAGAACACTCAAATTTGTCTGTCATCTTGGTTTGAAAGTAATCTTTCTGATAGATTTCAATATGTAGTTTATGATAATAATTCCTCCAATTTTTCTTCTATTACACAGGGTACCACAAGGTTCTATCCTAGGTCCTGTACTGTTTTTTTAGGCGAAAAAGAGGGGTGCGGTTAATACACGACGGCAGTTTATACAACGTTAATTACGGTATGCCTCGCAAAAGTAATGTCTGAAAACATCAGCTGTGCTATTTTTTAGAGACTTTAACATTTAATAACTTTAATAAAAGAGATACAAATGCAGAAAAAATTACGATTCCTATTGAGTTATACGGTCTAAAGCAATTGGTTAACCTACCTAATTGTATCACTCAAAATCATGAGCGATACTGAGAGCGAGCATTTACACTGCAACAACCAAGTTGAAGCTGATGTAACAAAATTAAAAAAAACCTGGAGGTAGGGCTGTTTTACTTAGGTTTCTTGTCATGTTTATGGGTACTTATTTAACAACTTCTGACAAAACTCTGAAATATGAGGAAAAACCCTGGGTTTCTGATTGCAGTCTAAATGCCCCTATTGAGTGAACTCAGGGTAGGTTCATCAAAGGTCGCTCAAGGGTCCACAGGATTAGTGAGTCTAATGCACTCTGCAAACACCAAGGCCAAACAAAGTCTGTCCTATTTGCAGCTGCCAAAGATGGTTCCTTTTTGGAGACCTTCACACTTAATTCATGAGCATGTTGCCTACAGTACAGATTCAGATTCTGTTCATAAAAAATTGCTTTTCAGTATCAAGACGGGAGATTGGGCTATCTTCTATGACATTCCATTTTGAAATAGAGGTCATGTAACAGTTACATTTACATGGTATATATATTGAAAGATCAAATATACTATTATTTTGAGTAGGGAGGAGGGGACAGGAAGGGGAGGGAGGGGGTTCAAGTGAGAAGGAAGATAGGAGGGAGGGAGGTAGAGAGGGAGGGAGGGAGGAAGGGAGAAAAGGAAGAGAAGGAGAGGGGAGATAGCAAGGGGTAGAGAGAGAGGGCAGAGAGAGAGATGGAGGGAGAGTTTATTGGGGAAAATGGGAATGTAAAAACCGGTCAAAAACCTTTTTTGAGGGACTTCATGATCACTTTGAAGCGCATTTTTTTAGGGCTTCAATATTTAATACACCATATCACAGATACTGATAACACGTAGGGCCATGCATCTCAGATTTAACATTGTTAAACAATGCCTTTTAAATGAGCTTTTATACATGCCAACATGCTTGCCACTATGATGATGAAACCATAAAGTATATTACAATACATTTCTTTTCTATACATGTACCCACTATACTTCATGTACATCCATCATGTAATATATACACCTCTACTCTATGAAGACATTCCGAGAACCATTGAGACTAACTAATCAAGCTCTGTCTTTTGGAATCATGCAAAAATCATGAAGTTGTTAACATCCAACTAGACCCATTTACACAGCTCCCC